TGGTGTTGAATTGTGGTACGGGGCTCGAAGGGTTGGACATTTTTGACGTCGCTTGATTAATCTCAACTCAAATTTAACTAAAAAATTTACAGTTTCTCTCAATTCAAAAATTATTTTTAGCCCTACCGATGCTTTCACAATACAATTAAAATAACCTCTTAGTTGCTCTCAATGTACAAATAATAGACAACCCCACACCTGACACCAATGTAACAAATCGCCCCAAGTACACTATGTAATTTAGTTAGATGGTAAATGGCGAGCGGCACATTGATGGTGTTTATATACTTGGAGCTTGCTATCTAAAATCTGTGGAAGAGGGTCTATTTGCAAGAGAGAGAAACAAACTAAGGAGGTGCACTAAATTATATTTTATTTCACATAAAACTCAAAAATCATTTAGCCAAATATCTCCCAATACTTTACATCCTTCTTTAAGTCTGTAAAATTAATACTTCTCATCCGTTCTATATTGTTATTATACGGACCACTGAAATATGCCTACTTAATACGAAACGCCCTATTCATACTATTTCTCAAAATAATATTTCTATTTATTTCACTACATCCGAATCATTCCTAATAACTACCCTTCACCTAGTCAAACAATTCCCTAAAATCTCCAAGTCCTTTACTTATGAAAACCCAAAATAATTACCTATTTGTTTAACAACTAATTTATTCTCATAAAATCTTACAATAACCTCTACTTGCAAAACAAACTCCCCAATTCAAAATTCATTTCATGGACAATAAATTCTTTTAACGGCTTTCCCATATTCTAAGACAATTCTATTTCATGAACAAGTTTAATTTACGAAACATCCTATTTCCTTTTAATTAGTTTATTTAATCAGACAAATTCTAATATAAGTTTCCTTTTAACTAGTTTCCAATATTTTAAGAAAACAATTCTATTATGTCATCAAATTTCTTTTTAAAATTTCCTATTGCAGTTAATAGTTTCTTAGAACAAATTCTATTTTCGGATTCCTATGCCTAGCTAATAAATCCAACTGTTTAATTCATAATTTCCAACTCAAAATTGAATATTGTTAAATGCATTGTAAGTACTCTTCATATTTTTGTTGCACATTTAAATGTCATTATATCTGAAGGTAATTAAAGTTATGCGATAATGTTTCCTTCATAAAACACTCAAGTTATTAATTTCGTTGTAATAAAGTTCCACCGTTAAATTAAAAATCAAAAGTTTTCTAGTAAAATTTCACACAAAGTCATGTTCATCAAAATAAATCTTGTCACTATAAAGTACTTACATTTTGTCCATAAAACACACGTAAAATTATTTAATTAACCACTCAAAATATTTAGCTTCATGCACATAATTGATTGAACGAAATTTCAACTGTTATTACTTTCTCGATTTTCCGTAAATTTTCTAAGTTAATTTATACCCGAGGCCATAAGCCATAAAAGAAACTTTTCGCGAACCTGGACAGACTTTAACTCAAATGGACGACTCAACTGTTTTCTGGCAACTGTTTACTGGGAACTATCTTCAGATCACTGGGAACTATCTTCCGCGAGTTTTATATCAAATCGCTCTCCCCACAAAATTATTATTAAATTTCCCCCAAATCGTCAATATAGGCGGTCGTTAACTTAGGAATCCGAATTTCATTGGACGGCCTCATTGTTATTAAAAGAATGATGCAATTTCCTTGAATATTATATCATTTTTGTAGCCCAAAAATCGACTAATTATGTCGCAATTATCTGATTTATTGAGGTCAAGACGTTTTGGGTTCAAGAATGTGAGGGCAACACAAAGAAAGCCGACACACGTGTGTCATAATTCATTCGATTTAATTTAGATGATAACATCCGGATGTCGTAATACGTTTTGCGTTAATTGGTTTTATTTTTAATTTATCGACACAGATTTAAAAATACCGGAATTAAATTTTGATTATTTGATAAAATTTTAATTTTACAGTAAAGACTTTGTAATTATCGGGTCAAATTTCTGGATCATCACAGTACTATTGAAATTGTTCAATTTGTTACATTTTCAGTGTACCATTTAGTTTCTGTAGTGTGCACTTTAAACAGCCTGAATAAATAAATAAATAAATGAAAATTCAGTACCTACCAAAATGTATGGAACTAAAAACCCTCCAAAATGATGAATCACTTGACTCCCCTTCCCATTTAACTCATCCCCTTCAAATTATAATTCACGTGTTTCAGGGCTTTTTTCGAAAATTTTCAACTCCGAGATAATAGAGTGGTAGTTTTTGAAATGAACACCCTGGTATTAGTGATCTGCCAAATGAATTGAGGAGTAAGATGTCGTTATTTGTGGATAATAGGTAGTTATAGTAATCCTGTAACACAGAATGGCCTCCAGGAAGACATAGATGCCATCAAACAGTGGACATTCACCTGACAAATGCCATTGAATTGACTCCAAGTGTTGAATTCTCTACTTAGGCAAAAACAACCCCAGGACGTAATACTCCATTGGGTCTACCCAGGTAGTCTGTGTTGCTGAACAAAGTGATTTAAGAATTTTTGCCATTGAAGACACGTTGGCATCATAAAGAAGTCAAACTCGATCCATCATGTACCTGATTTCCAAGGCATTTAAAGATTCCACCCACACCCCAAATGTTTGTAATGCTGTACAACGCTTAGGTACCTACATAAGACCCATGTTGGAGTATGCCCAAAGCAGATGGAGTCCTTATTATGTTGAGGACATTAAAGCAATTGAAAAAGTCGAGCAACAAGAATTCCCCCAGCTCTTCGTGACCTTCCATATCAACAAAGGCTCAACCTCCCCAGACTTTATGAGAGACGAACGCGAGGGGATGTAGTGGAGACATTCAAAATAATTAGTGCCACTTGTGTGTTTGAGTTTAGTGACAGCCAGCATCTAAGGGGTCATAAGAAGTAAGAAGAGATGTGTCAGGCTTTTGTTTAGAAATTTTTTGTCCAATCGAGTAGTTGATGATTGGAAACGACTCAGTTGGGACACTATAAGTGCATCTTCAGTCAACACGTTTAATAGGGTTGCCAGACCTCCTATTTTTAATATGAGACTCATATATTTTAACTGTTTCTCATATCTCATATTAACATGTTTAATATGAGACCATTTCTCATATATTTTCCTCAAAAAAAAAAAAAGAAACGATGTATCACTACCATACACGTGAAAGGCCGGAGTGTCATGCGTCAGTTATATGACCGTCCGATGGTATGACGGAGCTCCTATTTATTGAAAAATTTTCCGCCGCTTTTTATCTAAATATTTTCAACTTTTTTCCGACGTCGGACAAAGTTAAAATAATTTTAACTCCTTCCGTTTTTGGATCGAACCTTACAAAACGAGTTTAGGTCAGGAATTTGTTTGAATATCAAAAAACTCAAGGTGTCCACGACTTGTTACAAGAAATGAGACTGACGAATCAGGAGGAGTATCTAACTACCCAAAAGAATGTCCAGCAATACATTTCAAAACCTGCTAACAATCATATCTAGTTGTTAAGATGGGAGCTTGGTGGCCATATAGTGGAATGGCATGTACTATTGACAGTTGAGTTGAAGAGGGCGCTTCCGTACTTGGAGCTATTTAAATTTTAGCGCGTAAATGATTGATTGTAATTTTAACCTCAAAAGTTAATTTTGATGTGTGGTTTCAAGACAAGCTGACGCTGACACTTTTAAAAATATTCTCTAAGGCCCACTGAATGCTTTGGAAGATATTTTAACTTATTCATTGTCCATTGTTCATATTGTAGTCATCTTTCCTTCTACTCAATTTAAATGGTTTAAAACTATTGACATTTACCGCCAAAATTTGAAGCACTCCAAGTTCACTCGCGCCCTCTACAACATTTTGAGGAACTTAACTGGATATTTGCTGCCATTGGTACCAAACTCGATACAAATTTTTGAATGCACCTTGTATTGCATCCAACGATTTGACTTTTTTAAGGCCTTTAAGAACTATTTTTTAGTTTTTTTCATCTCCGTAGCTTCAACCCCCTAGCTAGGGGGAGAACAACCCCTCAAATTTGAATAGGGGATAGGGGTCGTGTCATACCTCTTTTCAAAGGTCTCATCAAGTTCTTTATTGCCCTAGAATTTCAAAATCTTGGAAATGGACTATGTTTTAGTAGGAGTAAAAGCGGTACTTACCTCCCTTAATAAAAATACGAGCAGAAATACCTACAGTTTACAATTCTCGTGTACACCTCATTAATAATAATAAGAAAAAACTTCATTTCAAGTATTTTTATTAAGGGAGGTAAGTATCGCTTTTGCTCCCAAACTAATAGTCTATTTCCAATATTTTGACAAGCTGTCATTTCGTTACGTATGAAAATTTTGAGACGAAATTCTAGGGTCATAAAGAACTCGATGAGACCTTTGAAAAGAGATATGACATGACCCCTATCCCCTATTCAAATTTGGGGGGTTGTTCTCCCCCTAGCTAGGGGGTTGAAGCTACGGGGATGAAAAAAACTGAAAAATAGTTTCCCCTCAAATCAAAAATCGACATGTCCGAGCGTTTTTCCAGATTCTTGTCTCAAATCCAATAAATCGGGGCGGACTCTTTTCCCTGGGACACCCTGTATAAGTAGACTCGTTATTTTATTTTTGTCAAGTTCCAGGAATTACCATCCTACATTTTCGAAAGCAACTGGTTCGCCACAGATACACCATTCAAAAAACAAATGATCTTTACTATTATGAGAGCTAGACGTCCTGTTTACTTTACTGCTGGCAAATTTTCACCATTGACTTTACCAACTTTTATGGGGGTAAGCTATTGATACTTCATAGATATGATTTTAACTATATATAACTTATTTTTAGATAATAAAGACATCATATTCAATTTTTGCCCTAATCAAAAATACCTCGTCTTAAGAAAACTGTCAATGACTTGAGTTTAATAGAAGATTTTTCACTCTGCACTGTAACTATTAAAAGTTATCATAATAAGAAGTCATGCGTTTATTTTATCATTTCTCAATTAACTTTTTTCGTCTAACATTTATGGTAAAAGAAGTTTGAACTCCAAAGTCAATTTTTTGCACAGGCTTGGTTCTGATTGTCTGTTTCTTTTTATTAGAATCTGATTGTTTAGAACTGTTGAGGTGTATTCCAGCTGGTGACTTTAAAATCGTATCGGTATCGGTAAGCATTTTTTTCTTCTTCTTCACAAAATGTTTTTTGGTCAACGTTGAAGTATCAACCATTGTAACAACTTTTTCAATGGTATTCTGGCTTTTATTGGCCGTGGAAGTGAGTTTTTCATTCTTCGCCTTTTCGATTGCGTTTTTGATTTTGACTATTGTCGATGGTCTGGTTTTTTTCTGAAATTATAATAAATGTTGAATAAGGAGCAGGAATTATTTGAAGCGTTTACCTGTTTTGGAATGTAAGAAGATTTGTGAAGTAAGTCGCTCAATTCTTTGAGCTCATTTAGTGTTCCTGTTCCTGAAAGTATCGATGGTCTTTTGTCTTTAGGCTGAAATAATGAAAGTAAAGTTTATTTTTAACTTTAAGTCATACTTACCTGTAAAATTATGTCGGATCTTTCGTCAAGAATTGTTCCTTTAAAGCTTTTTACTGCATTTAATTTTAGGCCAAACTAAAATTTAAAAAAAAATTCAATGAAAATTTTAACAAAGAATAAGAAAACAACTTGTTGATTTTTTCCTTCGATACTCTGAGCTGGAAGTAAATCTCTTGAAGGGGCTTTTTGATTTTGATTTACGTCAGAGCTAATCCTACTTTTAAAAGTTGAATTTGGAACAGTGGTACCTGACAAAACTCGTACATTGTTACTTTGCTGACTTTGTTCTCTTTTTTCTTTGAGTTCTTGAAGAAACCGTTCAAAATCCTATAATAAAGGTACCTACTTTCGTATAAATGTTTCCAGAGTTTAGGGATTATTTGTTTCACACAACACAGTAATTTTCATGTCCTACCTTTGCTTCTTTTTTTGCTTGTATGTCGGACAATAATAGTTTTTCTCTAGTGCAAGCAAATTTTTTTCCGCAAATTGAAACCATATTCCAAGGAAAAATGATCATGAGGTGACACTGAAGTTATAAAATGACAACTTACCTACCAGAATGATTAATTCGAATGATATAGGTAAATATAAATCAATGGATTTAACTGCAAAAGAAATCCGTATCAAACTTCAACAATAAAACACGATTTTAAAACATTTTTTTATTAAGTATTTATAATTACACTATTTTAATAAATTATCCAAGCTTCAAGGCAATATAACATATTTCTGCAAATTATTACATTCAGGCTTCTAAAAACCTTTGAAATTGCTCAGAAAATTTTCCTTGAGGATCGTATTTGCCGCTGATCCTTTTCCAATCATCTGGCTGATTTTTAATCAAAAAATTTGCACCCTTTCTAACGAAATCCTTTTGAGAGTTTGTACATTTCACACAGTTGGTACGCAAAGCCTCAGGAAGGTGGGCTAAAAACAGAATATAAAAATTTGCTTTTAATTACAAATTACTTACTTTTTAATTCGCGGCCTTCCGCTGTACACGGTCCTTCGTCCAGTATACACTTAACGTAATTACCAAGTACTCTTTTGTTGCTTAAAATCGTATCAATATTTAAATTGTCATATTTTGTAGTGTACTTTTGCCCATGAACCATATTCAAAACCACAATAACTACTAACACTGCGTAAAGTTTCATTTTGAATGTTACTGAAGGATTTTTCAGTAAGTGGTTTATTTATATAAAGTCGAATTAAAAATGTGCGTTTAGAGGTTGATTTCAAAGGACAAGACATACTTTAGCTATTACATGAGTCAGAGGAATAGCCATTAATAAGTATTTTATATGCATACAAAATACCTTGATCTGCATAAATTGGCAGTTCTAAAAAAAATATATTGGCGGGATTTAAGGTCTGAGAATCGGTTTATACACCATATGACCAATGTTTTTCTCTCAATCTCAATGTTCTAAAGGCTTGAAGGAAAATGTTACAAACTTCAATCCTAAAATGTTCACACTGCTAGCTGAAAAATTCTGATGTTTTGCGTTTTACAAGAAAACTCTGCCTGTTTTTTTTTTTTGAAAGTTTTATTTCATATCTTTTACTAACTTGAACGAACTAACAACCTGAAATGTCAAATCGGAATTTTGAATCATACTTGAGAAAAAGATTGAAACGTAGGTAATGCTTTCCTATAAAGTTTTTTATTTCTATTATTGCTTAAATAAACTATTTTGTAGGTTGAAACATTTCATAATGAGTTTTACATTCGGTGCTTTTATGGATCAGGTAAGCAGTCATCCAATTTATTAAGATCCTCACATGTGGATATGGTGAGAGATTTGAGGCATTGCAGAGCTTTATCATCTAGGAAATCACCAAAAAGCCCCTAAAATGAAGATAATGTATTTAAGTATATAAGAAATTATACTTGATGTTGGCTTATGAAAAATTGTTTAGCTTTCAGTTTGTACCTACATTACAACAAAAAGCATATTGTTTAGAATTCCTTTTACTCCTTACAACTTTTGTATTGTCAAATTCTGTAGCTACTTACCTTAGCTTTCTCAGTGTTGAATTTCCCGTCATCTTTCAAAAAATCAACCGATTCGAATAAGCATCTGAAATAGCAGAAAAGCTCTCGAGAAAGCGGTTTTCCCTCAGCTGCTCTTTTTGCATCCTCCACAGTCAAATTTACCTGTTGAAAGCAGTGTTCCATCTGTCCATTGTTTTTTGATATATTTTTCAAAAACTTTCGATGGGATTTTAGAGGAGCTACAAACTATAAAAACAATATTGATTCGATGGTATAAATATTTGATAACTTGAATAAAGAATGAAGGCTTTCACGGCCGGTCAAATCTGGCAAAAAAGTTTTTTCCGGGCTATAATGCCGTGGTCCATTAGTATTTCTACCTAACGTTTCGTCTACTGCTGCGGTAGACATCTTCAGAGGCGGTGTGGTAGAGGACGAAGCGTTCTCTTCCGTGTTTCTCCGATGAGATGTCATCGAGAGTTAGGTAGAAATACTAATGGACCACGGCATTATAGCCCGGAAAAAACTTTTTTGCCAGATTTGATAACTTACCTGAATTAGGCTCAAAATGCACAAGGATATCGGAAAAAGGACCTTTAAATACATTATCGAATGAGTTTAGTACAAAGCAACCATACCTATACGTGTGATTTCTAAATTTATATGCTAGGGAATGATTAAATTTAATTTAATATCGCATTAGTAGTTAATTTGAGTTAATAATAATTACCTAGGTGTAGGTAAGTACCTTCCTAGTCCTAAGCTATATTATAAAATTTTTACAGCAGGTAAATTAGGTCTTTTGAAATGAGCGAGTAAAACAAATTCCAATGGTTAAAAGAGGCAAATTGAATCATGGGTACCTACATAATGAATAGTTGAGTACATTAGTATGCCAACTATGTAGGAGAGGATATACTTATGTATTCCTAATTATGCTGCTTTTACTGCATCCCTGATTTTACTATCAAGTTTCATGGAATTCACAAGCCAAGTACAAAAAATAGTTGATAACCTGCTCAACTACTGCTAAAAATTACCTACACAAAAATTATCAAGGGGAGAAATACCTTAATAACTGGAGGCAAATATTTGAAAATCAAAGCACTATTGTCTTTGTAATATCAGGAGGTTCCTGAACCTGAAGATTGACCCATAAATTAGGCAACGGAAAAACATTAAAAGCAAGGCTATAGTAATTAAATTGTGGGGACATTCACCTAAAAAATATTTCATTCTTCATTCATTTTATTTATGTAGATATTTATGTTTAAGTGCACTCTACAGAAACAAATTTCTAAATGAAGAATTAAACCTAAATAATGATATGCAAATTAACTCATTAGAAATATAAAGAATACAGCATTTGTTATTATATATGTACAGATTTCTCTTTTTATTACATTCAGAGCGGTACCCTTCGAAAAAATCTATGTGGGAAAAGTCCTGATTGTAGTGACTAAACGCGTCATGATGCAATTTAGACCATAGTTAGTTTTATGCACAGGTTGGAAAAAAAGCTGCTTCAGTCGGGTTCTTTCTTCCAGGAACCAAAAATTCAATTTCTGTCAGAAGTTTGGGCGAGTTGATAATTTTGTGAACAAAAATGAGCCGAGCATTTATGCGTCGATTCTCAAGGCTGGGTAGGTATGCCGCAAAGCTGTAGACCAGTCTCGTACTCAAGGTTCTCGTAAGAAAATCTCAATTTCTAGAGCAGGTATTTGGCAAATTTATTTTGCACTCCTTCTAATGTGGCATACGCAATTTGGAGTCCAAATTGGGCTGCAATATTTGAGAGTGGATCGAATGAGACTGTAATAAAGACAGATAATGGACTCCATATCATATAATAGGTCTCTGGTGTTTTGTTTGATGAAACCTAGAAGTCTTAGAACTTTTTATAAATATGTTTGTCGATGTGTTTGTTTAAAGACATGCCTTTTTTCAAAGGTGACTCTAAGCAGGTTAAGGTATCTGAAGGTGTTGACTGTTTCCAGATTGGCGTTGTTGATGGTGTATGTGGGCAGTATAGGATTTATGGTCTTGTGGAAAATCATGTAGGTACTTCCAAACATTGAGTTTGAGAAGATTTGAATTGCACCAAGCCACCAACCTGTCCAAATCCCGTCCACAACTGCGAAAACCTTCAAGTCGTCAGCGGTTAAAGTAGAGGAATGATTTGAAGCATTGGATGACGTCATTTATGAAAAGAACAAACAGAATCGGTCCGATGATCAAATTGTGCGATCCCTGAGAAACACCGCGGATGGATTTATGAACATGAACTCGTGGGTTAGTTACTGCACCGCACATATCATAACTCTTTGAGTTCTTTCCGTTAAGTATACTATTCCATAAATTTTAAGAAACGTGCACCAAAGCCCATATCTAGAGTTTTTTAGTAACAACTTATGGCACACACTATCAAAGGCCTTTGAAATGTCGTCCCTCTATTTTTCTGATTGCAAAACTTTCGTTAGGAACTATTGGTAGATAGCAAACCGTGCTGTTAGCAATGTACCTAGTTACTAAAGCATGAATACACATCGTCTGTTAGAATGGATTCCATAATTTCAGGAATATGCGATAGTAGAGATATGCCTCCTGTAATTATTATTCACATCAGAGCTATCTCCTTTGTGAATAGGAAAAAGAGTTGAGATTTTCCAATAACTTCTGGGAAAAATGCCATTATCGAAAGAAAGTAGGATAAAATGCTTCAGAAGATCTATAGATGTGCAACAGCCTTTATGGGGAGAGACCATCCGGTCCAGGACTCTTTGAGGCATCGGGATCCAGATTTTTTTCTCTGTATTCCATCAACTGTGAAGATATGATCAAAGAGGTACGTTCCAAAAGGGACTGAGTAGACTTCTTTGATCACAACATCCTTGTGGTCAGAGTAACAATTCTTGAAGTGTGTGGCAAAGAATTCAGCAACAGATATTGTTAAAGTGCATCTGATTTGGCAAGCCTGCATCTCTCTTCAAAGATCCTATAAATGACCAGCAGAAGTGTTTAACATTAATTTGACGGAAATAAATGCTCAGCTTTGATAACATGTAGGTACCTAACAGGTAGCACCTATCACTGATACTTCACGTCTTTCCGGGTTTCAGATTAAGCTTCATAGTTCGTTTGCCGATCATTTTATATGTATTTAACGACGATTTAACTTTTTTAGCTCAGAGTTGAATAATTTGGGATATTTGCCGATTCTGATGCTTTCTTTGGAAACATACTGATTAATTCCTTGCTGTATAACTTCCTACAAACTAGCCACCGCTTTGTTAGTCACTATTACTTAAGCACAGATTCCAGTCAATACTGTTGAAGTACCTAATTATTAAGTTCCGTATAGTTCGCTTGTTCAAATAGGTAAATAGTAGTAGGATCTTCGGCTTTTAGCGTTTGTCTACTTCCGTAAGAGAAACTAAATTCCAAACCCAGATAGCACAAGAGCCTACTAGCAACGTCTTGGGGATATCCGGGTCGGACATTTATAATGTCACGAGTATGTCTTTTGAAAGTCCTTGGGACATACGTAGGATAATATATTTTGTTACAAAACCTTTCATACTGAGTACTTTCAGAAGGAAATCCTGGGGCTGTTTGAACAAAACTCCTACGAACGCTCAAGGAAAACTCCAGGGATGTTAAGAATAGAGCATTCAAGGAGGTCCAGAAAGAACATACATAGGACGTTTAAAGGGAAATTCCCAGTGTTGTCCAAAAACTCTTAGGGATATTCAAATAAGAATTTCCATCAGGGACGTTTGGATGAACATGGGATTTAAAACGAGAGTCCTCAGACCTAGATGGGCTCTGAAACGGTCCTCAGGATATCCAAAATATCTAGATTAGACGTTAGCGGACGTTCTCAGAGTTTCGGTTTTCAGTTTGGGATTTTAAGACTCACATAGAGATCTAAAACTGACGACCTGTGCTAGCAAGAGCCGGTTATAATCCAAATTTGAGCTATTAACCGCTCTTGGTTTTCTCAAAAAATTATGGAGCGACTCGAGAGCCGGTAATAATCAAATTTTGAATTGTTATACCGGCTCTTGATTGCCTAGAAAAATTACCCAGCAACTCTAGAGCCGGTAATAATCAAAATTTGAACTATTACCAGCTCTTTGTCTAGAAAAATTACCCAGCAACTCAAGAGTTCAAGAGCCGGTAAAAATCAAAATTTGAACTATTACCGCATCTTGATTGTCTAGAAAAATTACCCAGCAACGGAAGAGCTGGTAATAATCAAAGTTTGAACTATATTACCGTATCTTGATTGTTTATGAAAATTACCCAGCAACTGAAGAGCCGGTAATAATCAAAATTTGAACTATTACCGCATCTTGATTGTCTAGAAAAACTACCCAGCAACTCAAGAGCCGGTAATAAACAAAATTTGAACTTTCACCGGCTCTTGATCGATTCTGGAAAAAAATTTCAACGATTCAAGAGCCGAAGATAAGATAATTAAAATTTTGATGCTAACATGAAATTTGAAGCTCTACTACCTAATTTTAGAGAAGAATTTGGGCTGAGGCATTTAAATAAGTTCCGAGTATGTCTTTTGAAAGTGCTTGCAAATTTCTACGAATGTTTAAAGAGAACTTCTAGGGATGTTAAAAATAGAACATTCAAGAAGGAGGTCCAAAAAGAACATACATGTGACATAAAAAGAGGGGAATTCTCAGGAACGTCCAAGAATAACTCCTGGGGATTTTTTGAATAAGAATTACCAGGGACGTTTGGATGGACATGGGATCTGAAACGCAAGTCCTTAGGATGTCACAAAGATATACCTAGACTAGTCGTTTGCGGAAGTCCAGTAAAAGTTCCGAAACGCTCAGACCTAGGTGCGGGCTCTGAAACGGTCGTTCTCCAGGATGTCCAAAACGTACATTTCTAGATTAGCCGTTTAGCGGACGTTCTCAGGATTTCGGTTTTTTAGTAAGGGACGTTAAGACTTACATAGCATCTGAAACGGACGTCTTGGGGAGGTGGATGGTATATCAACCTACACAGCGGAAAGTCACTGGTTGTGGCCACAGGTAGAGAAAGTTCAGTTGCGGAAATAAGATCCAGGGATCTATTTTAGCTGTTCTTCACATTGTTAAGTTGCTGAAGTTCGATGAAGAACATATAGGTTCTATATCTATCAGAGTTTGCTCGACCAACGAGTGAGTAGTTCCGGCAGCAGAAAATCATCCTTTGCGATCCAGTTGACATTGGGAAGATTGAAGTCGCCGAATATGTTAAAACTGGCATTTGCATATTATTTGTTTTTCAAATGATTCACATACTGATACAAATGCCCTGTAAGTTTTCTCAGGGAAAGTTGGAGTATGGTGGTCCGATCACCATCTCATCTCAACCGTGACAGTTTTATTGGATCCATATTTCCTCAAATTGAATAAAGTTTGCAGTCGGTATAATCGAAGACTGAAAGTTCCTGTCTAGCGCTATTAAAATTTAGCCAGGTTTTAGTGAGGACTATAAAGTCGTTATTGCAGCTAACAGCATTTTTAAAGAGCTCTTGTATTTTTGTTATTAGGCAACTCATATTTTGGTACTAAAAATTAAGAGAAGACGGGGTGGTCTTAAGCTGTCGGTTTCTTACTTTTACTTTTACTACGACATCCGTTGACCCCCCAATAATCAAGAAAATTGCGACATCTTTGATTGAACAAATAATTATATTTCTTAGAAATAGCGGGAGAGCAATTTGGGTCATCGAATCGAACTAGCGCCGATTGATTAGGATCGAATGGCGAAACTGAAACTATTTAAGCAATTCACAATCAAAGTCTATAGTCGACAATCATCGAAGATTAAGAGTAGACAATACATATTGTCCGTCGATTTTAATTTGATGCTCGGACGGAATGTGAGCTGGTGTGGCTCCCTACATTAGAACTCCAATGGTTACCTGACGTCACACCTGTTTTTGCCATATGAAACACCCCCTCGCTCCTCATACGGAAAGTGTCAGTTAAAAATCGACGAACAATAAAGCCTGTTTTTTTTAAAAAGATAAAAGTCAAAATGGCAATATGTTGGCAATACAATGTAAAATTGTCAATGCTTTCAATTTTTTTATGTAGAAAAGGCTTGTGTTGCCAACATTTAACTTGGAGAATTATCTTTAAAAGAAAATAGACTTTAGTGGTCATTAGCCAGTACAGAGTTGTATTTTTGCCTCGTGCTCTACATTATGTGTGTCCTTTAAGTAATCAAAAGACCTATTTTATTAGAATAATTTAGTGAAAATAAGGAGAAATTGTAAGTATGTACAGGGTGTTTCCTCATAGGCCCCTAGCTACAGCTTTAGCGACATGTATGAAAATTAAGATTTTAATATTTTACCGTGTTTTACTCTGGAATAAAGCCATAAGGAAGGCTAGGAATAGGTAAAATAAAGAAAATTTCAGAGTCAAGAAAACTACAGCCCCAAAAAGTTTAATAATAATTCAAATTCATTTAAAAGTTTATTTAATATATTACATGTATTTACATCAGATTACAAAATTAAACTTAAATAAATTATATAATTCCAATTTTGTTGGCAACATCTAGAGCATCACACTCCCTGGCGAGCTTAACATAAGCCTTCTTCTTTCCATCAGGCCTGATCAACGTATTTACTTTAGCCACATCGATGTCATACAATTTTTTCACTGCAGCTTGAATATGATGTTTATTGGAGTGGGCATGTACCAAAAAGACAAGGGTGTTATTGTCTTCAATCTTTTTCATAGCCGCTTCGGTGGTCAATGGATATTTGATGATATTGTATGCATCCATGCGAGATCTGGTAGGTAAACTTTTCCTAGGATATTTAGGATTCCTTGGTGGTCTTAGAGTCGCAGGCCTGTGGAAGTGTACAGATGTTCTTATAACTCGTTTGTGTGTTCCGTTTGGGCCTTTGATGACCTTCTTTTTGGCAATCATTGCTTTAGCAACAACAGCTGGAACAGTCTTAGCTTTTGCTTTGGCCTGTTGTTTAGCTGGGATCTGCTTTCTAGGCTTTGCTAATAAAGGTTTTGGTGGGATCTTGCCTTTGGTTGCTATTTTCTTAGCAGCACTCTTTAGAGGTGCTTTGCCTGTTTTTGGAGCAGGCGCTGGGATTTTAGCTGAAGAAACTTTGGCTACTGTATTTTTGGGTTTGGTAGCTGGTTTGCCTGTAGTTTTAGAGGCAGCAGAAGAACTCGCAGCAGGATTTTGTTTCTTTTTGTCACTTTTTTCGGCAGGATGCTTTTCGGCTGATTTTGGCTTTGGTGGTGTCATTTTCTTTGAGAGTATTACAATGAACGTTAACTATAGGTGATAATTTTCACAATTTTAGTTCACTGGGTTTCTCTATTAGGTTTATTTATTTGATTACTGCTGTCGCAAAACGTGAAGTGAGATTTTAGACTTTCAGATTCAGAGTGGACTAGTGGGTTATAGGTTAGAATGTGAAATCGAAAGTCAAAGTCAAATGTAGATATATATTCCTTTCATGCCATGAGGAGCTTCGGATCGGAACAGCTCCGGGGCGTTATGCCCTTATTCTATTCGAAAAGTGTTTGTTGCACCTGAGTGCTCAAGCGCCTCAAGCCCGACTCAAACCATTTAGATGCACGAAAGCCACCGCATCTTTTCCTTTCAAATCCGGGCGACTAACACCGGAGCGAGTAGTTCTAAACTCATGAAAGAAAGGAATACAACTACTAAAGCTGGGTTCGGCTATTCAGCGTGGAGTGGGAGTGGAGTGAACAGAGCTAATGGAGTCACCCCTAATATGGTAAAAAGCAATACCCGAACCTTAACCCGAACGGCTGGAGTGCGAATGGAGTCACTCCGAGTGCACGGAGTGAGCAAGCCGAACCCACCTTAAAATGATGTCAAAACAAACTGAGGGTGTGTTCCGTTTTTTCAAGAGAAAGGTCGAAGGCTACATGCTTGACGCGGTTGGGAGCAAGGATTTTATTTTACTGCTAGCAATTTTGAAACAGGAAACGAAAACTCAGAACTCTCTCCTCTGCTCTCTATCACTCATTAGTCGCATTAAACTGCGCATGTTGGCTCTCCCCTAGAACCGGTAGAACTAGTTCAGAATAGTTCCGGATTCCGGAACCGATTCTAGTTGAACCGCGAACAAAGAATAATAATGGCGTAATGGGGGGATGGCTCAGCGGAGCTGGAGTAGAGTTGGAATGACGTTTTTAGCACGTGACCCAAAAAGCTTTTGGAGTGGATTAGTGACAAGAGCCGCTTCCCAGTATGAGAGTGTGAAGCTCGGAGCTTTGAGCTCCCGAGCTATACGTACGAACAAACGTCACACGTCATGATACTGGAATGGTACAAATCTAGTGCGTGGCGCTCTCGGGGTGCTCTAGAGCGCGCCAATGTGCATACTGGAAAGCAGCTAAGGAGAATACACACTCTAAAGTAGTGCATATCGGCCTCGCTTTTGGTAATTGCCGCCATATTGGTGGGCCACCATTGCCGAGGTCATAACTAAGTCGTCAGCTGTTTAAACAGCCTACGTCAAGGCGAAAAATTACATGCTGCCTACGTCACAACTGGTATTTTGGCTTGCGTTGGGAGGAAGGGGGGGATTTGTTACACACAGGCCTTATGAGGATAGGCCATCCTGTAGTAGTATTGTGTATCATCCTTGGATTAGTGAAACCGAACGGCCAAGTGCATTTGGAGTTTCTTGATAGCGAATTCCATTTGTCGAACCAGTGCAAAAAAAAAAATGTATCCTTATCCTTACATGTTACATGCTTTTAGAAAAAGATGCGGATACACTCAGTGCGCACTGGTGACAAATGGAAATCGCCATTATAAGTTGTATTCCTTTCACACCTAGGAGGAGCTCCGGAACAGCTCCGGGGCTTCACGCGCTTATTCCTTTCGAAAAATGTTTGTTGCACCACGCATCTGTTCCCTGCAAATCGGGGGGCGACTAATCCTAAACACCGGAGCGAGCTCGAGTGTTTCAAACTCTTGAAAGGAATACAACTATTGAGTGATTCAGAGCAGGTTATCGTGACGCAGCCGATTAAATGCAAGATTTGAAAAAAAAAGTAGAAAAGAACATAACCCTACTTTAATGTTGTTAGCATCTTAGCATTTTCCTTTTATAAAGTTAAATTATTAATCATTATTTGCATTTTCTTCTACATATTTTATATCCTATATTATTAATTAACTCTACTATAAAAAAATAAATAAATAAGTAGCAAATCGCACCGGTAGCAATAAATTAATTAATTACTGCATTTTTATCTAGGGTGAGTGAAGAAAGCTAAGAGCATTTTGTAAGTGATAACATTAATATTCTTTTATTTTTTAAGATTTCACTATGGCCAAGCATCATCCCGATTTAATTTTCTGTCGGAAACAACCTGGCGTAGCCATTGGAAGGTTGTGTGAAAAATGCGATGGAAAATGTGTAATTTGTGACTCCTACGTTAGACCCTGCACCTTGGTTCGTATTTGTGACGAATGCAACTATGGTTCCTATCAAGGAAGATGCGTCATTTGCGGAGGTCCCGGAGTATCGGACGCTTATTATTGTAAAGAGTGTACTGTACAAGAGAAGGACAGGGACGGTTGTCCTAAAATTGTTAATCTTGGTAGTTCGAAGACTGATTTGTTCTATGAGAGGAAAAAGTATGGCTTTAAAAGACGATAGTTTATATGTTTCTTTTATAAATGAAATTGTCCAATCTTTTGTTAGTGATGAGACATGGTTCATTTCTTTTTTTTTTTTATATTCAAAGATTAAGTACCTTCTAAGTAAATATTTTTAAGTTGATGGTTAATTTCAAGCACTTGTAGTATTTTGGAATAATTACCTATTTATTTAAATAAATCGTTCTCTGAAAAAAATTATTAAGGCTGTCTCATAATATGAGTACACACCAAAAATAAATAATGGTAAATTAGGAAGCTATTGCATTTTTTTATTTCCCAGATATAATAGTACCTAATAATAATTCAGAATGACGCTGACTACAGCTTACTTTGTGTAGAAGTAAATTCAAAATGTTAATACGGAATTTCGAAAACTCAACACACTAATAATGCATGTGTCTTTCCGGGTTAATAGGATTCATGTTGTGGCAGAAATTGATCAAATTTTAAAGGACACTCTCCTGTCTCAATGTACTAAATTAATTGGTCAATTGAACTTGGAATCCACAGGCATTATTACTCCCAAATATGGCACTGCTCAGTGGCTCAGTCTTCATACCTGTTTCAAAAGCAGGCATCTGTAGTTTCTAGTAAAGCTTCCAAGCCTAATGAGGCAGCTGTTTCAAATGATCTTATTGTCCTTGATGATGAACCACCAAATGAGAGTATCCACGACGATGAGATTGAGGAGCAAGAATATACTGAAATCAACTCCCAGTCTCAGAACATGATGTCCCTGTTGAAGACCATAGGGCATAGATCGTTTAATCTAAGGCGCCCTAGAGCTTTGCCCATTTTCTTTTAGTTCCTCAGGAGCTCTGTCAGATTCACAATTCCGTGATTCCCCCCCAACCATTCAATAGATGGAATCCAGTGAATCCAATACTTAGTTGATTTTTCAATCCCTGGTGGAACTTTCTGTTCTGGTTTGGTGTCCCATTCTATTGACCAGTTTCCGGAACATCGATATATTGTAACGTCATCGCACACTAAGCCCCGTCATCGCACACCAAGCTGTACTTCTACTTCCACGCAAGAGTCACGAGCGGCTACTACTGATTATTCGAGTAGTAATAATCAACCGACTCAGGAAACATTTGTTTTTCCGACTGGCCAATCTACTGCAAATAATTCTTTGAGACGAGATACGGCGAGAACAAATTCGCATTTCCATTCTGATGAGAATTTACGATCTTCAAACCCTAAATTTTTCGGACGTGTTCTATTTGACTCGTTAATAAATTGTCAACCAGATCGAAAGGACTAATGCCAACGATCATTCAACATCTATTCTACTAGCCGATTCAATCAATGATCTTCAGTTTTTGCCTTCACGACAAAATTATCGACAACCTTCGTATGCGAATGTTAGTCATTGGAACCTGAACCTAAAATATAATGGACAATCCAGCGTGAACGATTTTTTGGAACGAGTTGAGGAACTGAGGCGGTCACGAGGCATTTCGAAAGAGCAACTGCTGCGCTCTTGTCCTGAACTTTTCGCTAGGTGATGCCCTGTAATGGTACCGGACATGCAACTTTTCTGATTGGGATGATCTCGTGCGTCAACTGAGAGAATCTTTTCCGCCGTATGATTACGAATTTGCATTGTGAGAGGAAATTTGTCGACGAACTCAAAGAGCTCAGGAAAGTGTACTTAACTATATGTCTTGGCAATGGAAAATCTTTTTCGAAAACTTTCTGAGGTTCCATCAGAACGAACAAAACTTAATATCATACGTCGAAATTTGTTACCACTTATTGAAAGTCGTCTTTTTACCTATGAGATTTTTCGGATACCTACGGATAGCTATCCTTAAAATTCTCATTCCTACCACTGTTTCAGAGGTATGCCGGATTGTTGGTATGGCATCATGGTATCGCAGATTTGTGCCTAATTTTTCTACCGTTATGTCACCACTGGCAGCTCTTACCAGAAAATATGTAAAATTTGCATGGGATTCTGATTGTGAGAAGGCGTTTCAAACAGTCAAAGATTATCTTACATAAGCTGCCGTACTTTCTTGTCCCGATTTGATTCTTCCCTTCTCCGTTCAATGCGACGCATCCGACTTTGGGTTGGGTTCAAGTGACCTGTGAATGCTCCTTATGACACACAAACTAATCACAAATTGAATTGAACAATCACTTTAACAGACAACCTTCTTCTCTCTGGTCTAGTCTCTCATTCTCTATCTCCAGCTATTCGGTAGGTACCTTTTTGTGTGGCGCGTCTACGCTCGCCCCTATTCGACAGCGCATACATGGTTGCAACATTTACCATTTGTTTTTCTATAATATCTAAACGTTCTAAAAGATTTGAAGAAATAATATTTTAACCCATTGACGGGCGTGTCTTCATTTGCAGACAGGTGTCTAGGGACGCGTCTGTATTTGCAGACAAAATTGGTAGTCCTCAAAACATAGCGTCTGCGAAAGCAGACGCCTATGCTATTATAAAATATACGTCAATATTTAAAGTGTCCCAGTAAATGAAAAAAAATTATTGAGAAGTGTCCATCCACGTCTATTCCATGGGAAAAAAATATGGAATAATATAGAAAAATTATAGTGTCCCCCACATGGTCCCCTTTTTCGCCTAGCGCCCGTCAATGTGTTAAATAGGTGGTTTTCCTCAACTAATAAATTTAACCAGCGTTTGGAGCCTAGAATTATCGTGGGCATGACACTTTGTCCTGGCTCTTGTGTTTATTCTATTTTCTTTTCAAGATTACTATTGTATGTTTATTTTAATTTTGTCTTATTTCTTATTATTTCTGTCAATTTTTAACCCTCTATAGTTAACTAGTTCATTATGTTTTAAGCATTTTTAGGTTTTTGATACTTGTTGCTAATTCAATTCTTATAACAAATTTAAAAGCAGAATTATAGATTTTAACGCTTTGCAACACCTTGTTCTTGTATTGTTTCTTCGTTTTGTTATTTTATGACTTATCATTTCATTTATGGTTTATTGAGCTTTATTTCTTAATGCTAAAAACTAAAAATATGTGTATTTACTATTTACTGTTATAAGCATTAAAGTAAGGTGTCTTAGATTTGAGGCTTAGCTTTGTCCATAAGGATTACTGTATCTTTTGACCAATAAAGCATCATGCTTGCTTACGCTAACTATTTTAGAAAAATAAATGAGCAGTATTATCTGAAAACACCTTCATAATTGAAGAATCTGCCCAAATACATGATTCAGTCATAGTTTAGAGAACACACAATTGAAAAAAAAACCATTGGTTGAGTCATTCTTTTATTAAACACTCGGAAAACTAAATGCCTTCAGTAGGAATTTATGCTTATTGCTACACTACTCTAGTGGTTTTTATTTCAAAAAAAATCACCGAAGCTATGTTTACACATAATCATATACCTAATCTGTTTTTTTTTTTAAATAACTATTATTTATTGTTGGCAACACAAGATTTTTCCATGTAACAAATATTGCCAAAATATCTAATAGTCAGTTATGAAAAAAATACGTAATCTAAAGTCCGTCGATTTTAATCTGATAGTCGAAAGGAATGTGAGCTCGTTGCACCCTACATTAGAACACCAATGGTCACCTGACGTCACACCTGTTTTTGCCATATAGTTCACCTCCTCGCTCCTCATACGGAAAGTGTCAGATAAAAATCGACGAAAAATAGCTTCACATCTAGTTTAGGTACCTACTTCGTTACCTACATCTTAATAATAGTTATTTATGTATCAAGGGTACTAAGTAGATGATTATGCCCTGAGGGCGACAGTCTTACAAAGCCGAGGGCCTCTGGCCCGAGGGTTCGTAAGTCGCCCGAGGGTATATATATCTATTAGTACCCGTGGTGCATACAAATTTTTATATCATACCAGTTGGTTGTGAATAATAAATACCCGGGAAAAAAGTGTCACTTTGCAAATTGTCATCAGTGTTCAAAATCATCATTTTTTGACAAAAATAATATGTTTATAAGCGTAAATTTATATTTTGTTAATAAAGAATAAGTTAATTGAAAATTTTTTTTTGCGTCTTCATGCCCGCGCGGGCCATAATGTGTACTTTATGCCCGCACGGGCATAAAGTAATGAATTATATAGATGGTATCTAAGGTATATAAACACAATAATGTATTGGTATGACATAAAATAAATATTGTAGCTAAAAAAGAATGATGTTTATCATTCAATTACAAAGCTTCTAAAACTAAGTAGACTTTATACAAATCCTAAGAGAAAAAATCAAAAATCTCACAGCACTAATAAAACTAAGTTCCTATTTTTTGCCCTCTTTAAATTCTGTATCGATCTTTTGCCAATGCTCTAAGTTATTCTGACACATGTCTAATAAAGGTTTGCATTCCGGTATGAGCGTGTTTAGTAGATTGTAGCAGGGCAGGCAGATGCCTGTCAGAAAACCAACTTGACTCGATGGTTGCTGATCTGGTTGTTGCCTGTCCATCATTGGTATTGGATGTCGGCCAACTTCCCTAAAATATTTATTTATCAGTTGAGCACCTAAGTAGTTAATCAAAATTGTGTGCACAGTTCAGGGAAATCTACTGCTTGTGCTTTTTTTTTCTGGTCTAAAACAGTTCAGGAATGTGTCAGCTCATTGAATCTCACAGAGACCAGCTACAAAATATTCACCTCAACTACTTTAAGACTGGACTGACGCAAATGATTGCAGATTGACATATTAAAGTTTAAAGTGATTCTTGGTTTTTTTTGTGTGGATCCTACACCAAACTGATGAAGTTCAAGAACACGGAAACGTAACTGGGTACCATTTTGCCAAGACTTAATTCGAAACTCCATTTTAATCAGGAGAAATTTTTCAAAAATAGATCACGAGGTTCCTGAACCTGAAGATGGACCCATAAATTAGGCAACGGAAAGACATTAAAAGCAAGACTAAAGAAATTAAGTTCTGGGGACCAAGTGGAAGATTCTTCTAAAAAACATTATTTATGACCGACACGAGTTTTGGCATCCTTTGCTAGATGCGCATTTTTACTGTTGACCCCAATAATCAAGGAAATTGCGACATCTCCCGTCGAACAAATAATTATTATATTTCTTAGAAACAGCGGGAATGGAATTAGAAATAACGCAGATTCATTATGATCGAATGGGGGAACTGGAACTATTTAAGCAAATTACAATCAACAAAATTGTTCGAGTTGATTAGTGGAGTAATTAATGTCAGAGTGTATAGTAACGTGGAATAAATTATTGTTGTGTTAATTGGACTTTGATTTTGGAATAAACGAACCCAAGATTTCTGTCACGCACTCAAGTCTCAAGAGCCGTGACAATATTTTGTTTGATAAAAAGTTTAAATTATCAATAGTAATATAACTAGTGCAATGGAAATTATTGACAATTTTTGGGAAATTTGCCCGAATGCATTTTTAGTTGAAAAAGAGCACGAGTGCACGTAGTGCACGAGTGCCTTTTTCAGTTAAAAACGCACGAGTGCAAATTTGTCGAAAATTATAAATATATTTCCATTGCACGAGTATTGAGAGAATTTCATAAATCAAAAATTTAAATTTTTTGTCAAAAAATGTCAAAACGCCAGTTTTCGCACCAGTTAGTATGCAATTATCTGATAATTTGCACTAGTGCAAATTATCGCGTAATTACAATCTGATTGGTTCAAATCAACAATCAAAACATGTCAATTTATTGTTGGAATACCAGTTTTGACAGATGTATGAAATTCTCGGGGATAATACCACGAGAGCTTAAAAATTACCGATAATTTTTCACGATTGCGTGTTTTCTATAAAAATTTGCAGAGAAAACACGCATGAATGAAAAATTATCTGGTTCATTTTAAAGCTCAAGTGGTATTTAGAGGATTATTTCACGTATGAGAATGCAGAAAATATGAAAATAAATATGTATTAAACGATTTGAACATCTTAACAATCAATACAAATAAATGGTTGCTATCAGGAACCGTTTGTTTGTATCAAAAATTAGCATGACAACCATGTATACAATAACATGGGAGAATTATTGCTGTAATTCTCTCTAGTTAAACAAATGGAAAAGAGAATTTTCGCTGTAATTCTGGAAATCGTCACTTGTCTTATGGGATTTCTAACACATGAGTGGAATAATCATAAACATCTATCAATAATCTGGCTGGTTCTCATGGCATTTTAGTGTAGTAGGTGGTGATTTAAAAAAAAAAAACAAAAAGCAGAATATTTTTCTACATAATATGTGTCTAGTCAAATGCTACATATTGAGGCAAATTTCTAACAAACTCATTTTCTCTAGTGCTCTGCTTTTAAAAAGCCAATAAGAATTTCATAATTACCTCTTTGAGTGTTGATAGACCTGCCTAAACACAAAATTAACTGACTTGATAAATAGATAAACGAGTGTATTTTTTAAATAAATAGGTACTTAATTCCTAATTGACTATAACATTTAAAACAATCCACTAGAATTGATCTGTGGAGATGCTACAGAAGATAAAACCGAGGATAAAACTAAAAAGGGAGCTTTTCATTTCAATGTTATCTTGACTAAGGCTTTTCAAAATATAATGTTTTTCAAAGTAGAAGCTCTTCTAGTAAATCATTTCCAATTATTTCGCACAAACCTTTCTGCGTCTCCTTGTTGATAAAACTCCTCAAAAATAACTTTAACAGTTTCCACTTGTATGTCCCAAGGCTTCGCGCTGGCGCTCAGATCACTTCCGGTCATAGAAATTGCTTGTAAAAGCATCCTGTGCTCGGTATTGCTCCAGGTAAACGTCCGTTCTTCAACGATTCTTGTAAGTTTCGCTTTGTTTGGGAAGAATACTGCCAAGTCCGTGGCCAAAATGCAATGTTTAAGAAGTCCCAGTACTTGTTTGTAGTCGCTGCTTGATAGTTTGCCAAATATATTATGACCTTCCTAAAAAGAAAAAAATATTAGATCCTATAATTGGCAACCTTAAAATTGGTTTTCTAACAAACTTCCCACATAAATGTTGTTTTTAATCTTGTACTTACTTGCTGTAATATTGTGACAGTTTGATTAAAATGATGATGTTCCATCGTTGATGTGGAATAAATCGCAGCAAGAGGCGATTCTGTATCGCTCATGAATTTGTTGTTTTTACCTCGGTGGTCCAAATCGTGGCAAAGAGCTCCAATGAATAATGCCAAACACTGAAATCAGTAACAAATTATAAGAGAGTAAAACAGATAGAAGATAAAATTCCGACGACTGATGCCAAGAAATGCCTGTTGAAAACCGAAGTTTTATTTCTAGTTTAGAAGAGACTCAGCCAGCAATTTATCGTTCTGAAAATTCGACTGTTTTCGAAAAGTTCAAGCAAAATACTCAGAAGATACTTCAAACAGATAGGTACATGTTTGTGCTTTTCGATTACTGCTCAAATAATATTTAGACCTAATTCAGCTCTACAAGAGGCTCCATCATTAAACAAAAAGGGCTGTTAAAAAATTAAAATCCAAAATTACCTCATTTGTCTTGAAACATCCCTCAGATCTTTTTAATATGCAATACATGCTATTCGCAACTGAAAACCCATGCGTCCAGTTATGATATGGCACTCTTCTGTAATTCTTTTTCACAGTTAAAACAAATCTGAAAAAAAATCCAATTAAATTCCAGACACTTATTATAAATAAATCAAACTACCTTGTCAAGCTTTTGGTATCAAACTTCATCAACCCAAACAAATCTATAAACATATAAATCGAATATTTGACTTTTTCAAAATCCCTTACATCGAAAGGATTGAAATAATAATCATCCACACCGGGTATATGTTCTGGTATACCTTCTGACAAACAAAACTTAACTTCTTCTTCGGTGCAAGTATTGTGATAACTTAATACCTATAGAAATATTGCAAATATATTAATAGTTTAACAAGTTACATTCTATACCTCCAATGCAACTTTATATTTTTGTTCACTTTTCTTAATTTTATCGTACAATTTTGCATGGTGCAAAGCTAATCCACAATAGACAGCAAACGTTTTAAAAGCCGCCTCATCGTCTGTAGTGAAACAGCCTGAATGTTTATTAACCATTTGCACCACTCCTATTATAGAGCCTCTTATGTAAATTGGCATACATAATATTGTTTGTGTTGTATATCCTGCATATAAGTAGGTTGAATAAACATTTTTTTTTTAAATTATTATTGTTACCTGTTAGTTGGTCCACTGTTCTATTGAATCTTTTATCAGCATAAGCATCTTTAATATTGAGAATTTCCCCGGTCAAAGCTACTTGACCGGCTATGCCTGTGCCTAAAGGAAATCTTATTTCCTTTGATGTTCGAACTTTCACCGAATAATCATCTGACCCTTCTGCGGCTTGAAAGTTTTCAGGACATTCGTCGATTCCTACATCGAAAATCGTTGCATATAGTTCTGAAAAAGGATGATTTTCTTTATAATTAAGAACAAAATACGACGCAGTTAGGATTATTTTTTCAAATTATAACTAACCCTTATTTTTACTGTCCACCAAAAATAATGAGGCTCGATCGGCGTTCACTAATCGCTGAGCAAAATTCATAATTTTCATTACCAACATATCCATGCTTACCATGTCCTGAAATATCGACCTATAAGGAAACAAACATCATCAGTATTGCTCAATACAAGAGTTAAAAATAGAGACTTTTGATATATCATATTGATGGTAAAGTTTGGTGAAACATAATTTCAAGACGTTGGCCTGCCCTATCACTTAGAAACTGGGTAGTATAGCTCTGGCGAACTGTCATCACGAGTTTGAAAGAAGAAGAAAGAAGTCGCTAACCCCTCTTTCACAACCGCCGTCAAATACTCATTATTCGTTTCTCGTGCGAAGAAAAACCACGTATATTTTACTGTTATAGAAAATTCAACAAAATTTACAAATAATGAGCCGTCCTTCAGGATACCATTTTCAAATCCAAGCGGCAGTAATTGACCAACTGGTAATTTTCATAACAACCTATCAAATGTCCTCCGTGCATGTGCACTGGTCCTGGTAAGACGTTTCAACCAAAAGGAAGGCTGGATTACCACTTGTGTTTGTTTACAATTTAGATTATTCAATGTCATTTACTGCCGCTTGGATTTGGAAATGGTATAGATCAACATCTGAGAGATCCCACTGATCCCGAAGATCCTAATCGGAGTTGGAGGAACGCCTCGTAGGCTTGAAAAGCTGCTTACTAAGAAGCGAAAGCAGAGTCCCTCTTCATCCCCACACTCAAGTAAGGAACATTATGAATCTATGAGGGTTAGGTCTAAAGTCCTAAAGGTCCATCGGCCTTCACCTTCACAACAAGCCAATGCTAGGTCCGATAGAATGTTAGCATCAAAGCGGGACGCGGCCAATAGGTCTACTAGCCCCAACATGGCGTTTATGCATAATATATCAAGCGAGTCTAATAGGACTGCTCAAGACAAGGAAAATATTCCTCCCCAAAACTAGGAAAATACTCCTCCCCAAGACGAGGAAAATATTCCCTTTTAGACCAGGAAATGTTAGAGTGTTGGGGTGAAAATCTTTTGAAAAAAGAAATCACCGGCATTGGCCTTCCTCAATTACTAGCAAAGATATGAGAGGGATTGGCTGGAGGAGCTAGCAACGAGACCGTTAGGGATCTTTGCTCTATGTACTCAAAACCCGAAAACATAAGATTCCTAAAAGTACCTAATTTAAACTCGGAATTATCCAGCCTGGTAAATGGGGTTGCCAAGGAAATAAAAACGTGGGAATACAAATTGTCTGCTGCAGGAATACCTCGCAGCAGCAATCACAGGTGTTGGATATTTAACAAACACTTTGCTGGACGAGAAGGAAAAATCTCAAAGGGAAAAAGAAGCGTTTAAACATGCAGGCAAGGTGGGGCAGATTTTGACAATCTCCCCCAACATGGTCTCCAACTATAAAGCTTCACTTTTGTCCAAATCAGCCAAAGAAGCTGGTTTCAGCAATAATGTGGACGATTACTTGCTAGGCTCAGATTTTAATGAGAAATATAAAAAACTGGTAGACCTAGAAAAATCGTCAAATAGGTACCTTAAATGTTGTTACACAGAACATCCTTACAATCAACAAGAAGCCTGCCTCACCCCAACAGTATCCAGTCAAACTGCTGTTTTCTTTAAACTCCTGGGGCCCATCTTGGAGGAGGCAACCGAGGTACAAACAGGGCCAATCCCATCAGGAGAGGAAAAACAAAACGCAGAGCAGCAGAAATTAGAGGTTACTACAGCTAAGAATACAAGCCTGTTCTTGGATAAATGGAAAAACATACCACAACAAAATAATCTTGCAATGGGTATTTGGATACAAATTATCATTCCTAGATATTCCAAGATCAAAATTTTAAAATTTTAGGCCACATTCTAATAAGAATCAGGACCAAATTTCCACTTGTATTATAAAGCTTTTACAATCAGGTGTTATAGAGGAAATTAAGCCCTCCATTAACCCTTACTTGTCTCCCTTCTTCTTAAATATTAAACCAGGTACAAATCCGAGGTTTATCTTGAATTTGAAAACTCTAAATTCATACTTAGAACCAATCCATTTTAAAATAGAAGATTATGGATCAGTTCTCAAAATACTTCAGCCCAGCATGTACAGGGTGTCCCAAATTCGAGGGTGATCATTGAGATATCGGAAACTATAAGAGATACGAGGTCGGTTAAATTATGGTAAAGTTGCGCAATTTTATGACCAATAAAATGCCGTTTTAAAATTTGAAAAATTCCGAATACTTCCGGAAAAAACCGAAATTTTGCAAAATAATTTTTATTTTTTCCTGAGTCTATTTGAAGAGCAATTTCAAAATAAATGTCACTTCATCGTTGTCATTTTTTCCCCTTTACAAGATGTTGCTACTTTAAACTAACTCAACTGGTCACCCTCGAATTTGGGACACCCTGTACATGTTGGGCTGAAGTATTTTGAGAACTAATCGATAATCTTCCATTTTAAAATGGATTAGTTCGTATCTCTTATAGTTTCCGATATCTCAATGGTCACCCTCGAATTTGGGACACCCTGTACATGTGTACTATCGACTTGAAGGAAGCCTTCTATAGCATACCAATTGCTAGTGACCACAGGCATTTTCTTAGCTTTACATTTGACAAAAAGATCTACCAATACAAGTCCTTACCATTCGGTCTTTCATCTGCCCCTTATGCCTTTACAAAAATATCTAAACCTATAGTATCCCTGGCTACGCTCCGAGGGCATCACATGCATAGTTTATCTGAATGACTACCTACTACACAAGTTTGTTCACGACAGGCACATAAAGCATGCCAATTTTCGGAATCACTAGGATTTAATGTGAATTATGACAAATCTAAATTAGATTCACAAAACAAGTGCGTCTATCTCGGATTTTCATTTGATTTCATTCTTATGCATATTTTACTCACGGATGAGCCAAGATCTCCAATTTATTAGTTCAATTGTATGGCGACCCCAAAAATTTCGAGGTGCTAAAATCCCAGAAAATATAACTAAACTCAATTGGTAAAAGCATTTTTGTAGTCATTTTAATTAGAAAAGTACCTACGTCAGTTGCAAGATCAATAATCTCAACTTATTAAATCTCCTAGCAATCCAGCATCTAATTTCGTATAAAAATAGTATAAATAAAAAATGATGAAATTTCTAAGTTCAACTCAAATTACATAACAATTTTTTTTTCCAACACAAGCGATAAGCGACTGGATGTTAGAGTTCGATGTCCCCAATTAATAGACTCTTGCAACATTCCGATAAAAAAAAAATCAATAAAAAATTATAAAATTAGGACGCGTTTAACCGGAAATCACTATACTCATGTGATTTAATTGTGTCATAACTGATATAGTCTGTGCATCCAGAGGTTACCCATAAGTTGTAAAACATAGGGCTGACAATAAATTAGTACAAGACCAAGTGAACGAATTTACATTTAGTTCTATAAAGTCCCTTTTCAAACTAATTTTAAAGTTTTTGAGTTACCTACGTCGAAAATCAATGTCTATAGAGTGGTTGCCTATTTAAAATTTACTCCATAAAAAAATATTACTTGACAAAATTATATTTTAAAGTAATTTTGAAAAATAGTACACCAGCACCTGAATTAATATAGGGCCTGTAAAAGTTTTTGAACAAGATTTATACCGAAATTCCAGTGCTTCCCGAACAAAACAAAATTTTGTGTTAAGTTTGATAATAATTATGTTTTACTTGTAAACAATATGTAATAATAATAATAATAAAAGTATAATAATCTTTACTCAGCATTAGATGAATATATTGCATTTTAAATAAATACGAAATGTAAATACCTATCTGTAAAAATTATATTTTTTCACAAAATTTCATGACCACAAAACATTTTGAGAATTTCAGGTAGAGCCCGTCCTCTCTTTATATTTCGCATGATTTATAGCCATGCCGTGTTTTACAACTTAGGGGTAAACTCTCGGTGCATAGACTTTAAACTACAACACCGGTGTTTTCGCAGGATGTTGCATCATATCCTAAATAAAAACTTGAACAAAAAAAAAACAATGCTTGGAAAACAACAATGTCGTTTATCACTCGATAAACGAGGTCAAATAAGAGGATTGGTTCGAGAAATGCTAAATGACCGCCCACGTAACAGATTTTTGGTGGGAATTGTGGAATTGAGTACTATTTAAGCAGATTACAACAGAAAAAGGGAGATAACATCCAGCAGTTGATTTGATAGTAAGATTTTAAGAATCAAGAGAATTGGCAGTGAGTGAGTCTCCACCAAAAAGTTTGCCATCTTTGTTTTGCCTCGGGCAAAAAGCTAAAAAGTTTGCGATTGACTATTGTCCAGTGAAAGTCATAAAGTAGTATCAGGTTTTCCTTTGTTTGTGCGTGCTGAGTATTTGAAAGTAATTTTGATCGTTTCTGTATCTAAGGACAGATTGTAAGTACATGTAGAAATTTGAGACTCTAGTATTTATCTATTAGTGAATTGATTTTAAGAGAACTGTCTAAGGAACTGAAAATTTATTTCATTTCCGAGTGAAATGACATTTGAATTTATTTTGATAAAAAAGGGTTTAATTATCAATGAATGTAGAATGAACTTGACTATTGACAACAATTTGAAGTGAATTTATTATAAGAAAATTGGAACTTGATTTTAAGTGAACTTTCTAAGGAACTTTTGAACATGACTATTGCTAATTTATTTGAAGTGGAATTTTCCAGAAGAGTTTTAATTCAAAATAGAATTTTGAATTCAAATATTGGATTGGTTACTACACCATTTTTGAAGAAATTGAGTTAATGAATTGTTGAGCTTAAACTATTAAATAAAAAGAAGCATGGCGTATATAAGAAATTTTTTCTACTGACATTTCATAATACGCTATTAAACGATTAAAATCTGTCTTATAATGAAATTCATTACGATACAGATTTTCATTATAATACTCATTTTTAATATTATACAATCTTGATAGACGGCAGCACTAGTTAAGATATTGAACATTTTTAACGGTAATTTTGCGTAAAACAATTATTTTGATAACTATAAAAAAGAGTTCGAATTGTTTAAAAGTTACCTAAAGTTTGGGACAAAGAATAATTATTATGGAAATAATGAGTGATAAGGAAGAATTTTTACTTTATTCATTATTATACATTGTCAATAGATGGCGCCACCAATTAAGAAATTTTGAATTATTTTTTATTTGAATGATGACAGCACTCTGTTTATAGCTTTTCCATGGTAATTTAGCGAAAAACAATAATTCCATGAAAAAAATACTTCGAATTGTTATTAAAAGTTACATAATATTTGGGATAAGGCATTATTATGGAAATATTGAGTGATAACGAAGAATTTTCACTAACACCTCCAAAAATTACAGAAAAGGCGACAAATGCAGGTAATAATATACAACCGGACAAGTCCAAGAAAATTTGCGAAAAATTATATGAACAATTTAGGGATTGGAAACACCAAAAACACATCGTCCTTCTCAGAAAATGTTTTGATAGTATATTTTGAAGAATTACAACAAAAAATGAAACCTTCAACTGTATGGATTACTCAATTATAAAAAAAATCTCTATTCAAAGTTAAGCATAATGTTGACATATCTAAATATCATAAGTTTTATCAATGGCAGTAAAAAAAATAGTGTATGCAACTCTCATGTAATGGCCATTAATACACGAGCATGTTGTAGGATACGAAACGAGCCGCAGGCGAGTTTCGTATATAACATGCGAGTGACATGATCATTGCATAATATACTATTAACACATCGTGGACGAAACCTGCACATAGTGGTAAAAGGTGATTTACACTAGCAGGACCGATGCCACATTCGTGAGCCATTGGAAAATTGAAAAAAACGTTTGGAGTGAGTGGGAGGAGAACGAAAGTGATCATGTATTCGCCGATCTCTACCGGGCGGGCTTGTTAGCTCAGTTGGTAGAGTGTCGTACTAGCAATGCGGAGGTCGCAGGTTCAAATCCTGCACAAACCCCAACTTTTTCAATTTTCCTTTGACTTTAATTTCCACAAATTTTCTCTGTAAAAAACTAGTTTCGGTACCTATAAAACCGACAAAAATTCTCCCTTTGTTCAAAAAGATAGTATATTATATACCTAGGTAGAGAAGTTGGTCCTTATATACCGAGCGCTTTTATAAACCGAGGCGCTCGCGCCGAGGTTTATAATGAGTGAGGTATATAATGACTTTCTCTACCGAGGAATATATAGAATTTTTTTTACTACTGCTAGTAGAAAATGAAAAATTTGTTTAAAATCTGTGCTCCAATTATTTTTTTTGAAGGCCCTCTTGAAAGTGCTGCCCTCTATCAACAGCTTATGATAACTTCCTATGTACCTACAGAAACCTGTATTTTTTTTCAAATTGACGTATGAAAATGAAATTGAACCAATAGAAACATGACAATATCCTTGCGTCATGACGTCATTTTCATTATTAACCTAGGTATTTTTTCATTATTTTCATTATTCACCTAGGGAGAGAAATTCAATTTTTTCCTAGAAAAATAGATTGAATAATGACAATTTCTCAGGTTAGTAGTAAAAAATAGTATATTATATACCTAGGTAGAGAAGTTGGTCATTATATACCGAGCGCTTTTATTTATAATGTGTAAGGTATATAATGACTTTCTCTACCGAGGAATATATAGAATTTTTTTTACTACTACTAGTAGAAAATAAAAAAAATATTCAAAATCTGTGCTCTTAATTATTTTTTTGAACGCCCTTTTGAAAGTGCTGCCCTCTAACAACAGCTTATGATAACTTCCTATATGTACCTACAGAAACCTGTATTTTTTTTGAATTGACGTATGAAATTGAAATTGGACCAATAGAAACATGACAATATCCTTGCATCATGACGTCATTTTCATTATTGACCTAGGTATTTTTTCATTATTTTCATTATTAACCTAGGGAGAGAAATTCAATTTTTTCCTAAAAAAATAGATTGCATAATGACTATTTCTCAGGTTAGTAGTAAAAAAAATTCTTTATGCAGTCTAATTTTAGATTGTGAGTTGGGAGTGTAGTATAATGGCAACTGGAAAGTTAGGGATTTAATTAAGAGTTTTAATATGAAAGGATTTAGTATTAAGGAAGTGTTAGAAAAGGGAATTGTTAAATGTGTAACCAACAAATAAGGAACGAGTTATAAAATTTAATTGCGTATAATCAACTAAGTTTTGATTCAGAGGGTGTATAACTGGATTGCTTCAATGTATGATCATTGAAGTAAGAATTTGTTAATATAAAATTTTTCGTTATATGTCGTGTGCCTAGGTTGTGCTGAATTCTGAGGCTGAATTCTCCTAATTGATAGTGCTGATTTAGTAAATAAAATATGTATGAAAACTATTATACAGTTGTTTCTCTCATTTGCAAATAGACCCCCTTCAGTCTTCACCACTTCATTTTGTAGTAACCCGAGAAAATAATTAACATCAAATAGAACCGCTCGCCATTTACCATTTAACTAATTAATAGAGTACCTACTTGGGTGGATCTCTACAATTGCTAATAATAAAAAAATCTTTCCATTAGATTTTTTGCTAGTGTACTTGGAGCCTTTGTAGCATCTTGCAATATTTGTCTTCGAATCAAGAATTGTTACAAATTTTCTAAATTATGAATTTGAGAATAACTGGATTACAAATAAAGGACCCATAATATGGCCGTCAAGATCTCTCGACTTGAATCCTTTGGATTTTTTTCTTTGGGGAAAAATCGAAGATCTCACATATAAGGAAGACATAACCACTAGAGTTACTAGAAGCTGCAGTGCGGAGAGCTTTTAAAGCTTCAACCCGTCAAGGCAAAATATAATGTGTGCTATATCGTTGAGAAGGTAATTTTAAGCTCTTCTCAAATATGTGTGTCAGTCAGTCAGTCAGTCAGTTAGTCAACTCATGTTGTAAGTTCATGATTTAAATATACAGTTTTACCTAATTATTTATTGCATTACTTAGTCCGAACCCATATACAACATGGTCTCAGGTGTGATGACTCAAATAGTGCCCTAGTTTGCACATGAAAAAGTGAAAAAGTTCCCTAGTTTGCACAGAAAAAGAGTGCCCTCGATAACACAGAAAAAAGTGAAGCAGTGCCGTAGATTGCACATGAAAAGACTGCCCTCGATTGCAAAAGCTCCCTTTTCCCTTTGGTTCCCTAGTTTGTACCCCAAAACGTGTTAAGCAGATACATAGAAAGCCAACCTCCTCATGAAAACGCTTGTTAGTAAATAAAAATGAGCTTCACTACAAAACCACTAGGCCCCCTCACTGAAAACAATTTTAAGTGTTGGAAACTCTATAAACAAAAGTTTGAAATTTTTTTGAAAGCCTCTGGAAAAAAAAATGAACCAGAAGATATTAAAATTGCTATTTTGCTAAGTGATATTGGGGATTATGGTCTGGATTTATTTAATACGTTTACAACTGACCAGCAAAGCACTCTTAATAAACTATTGGAGGCCTATGATGCTCACTTTCAGCGAAAATGTTGCATCCCCATGGAAGCATTTAGGTTCAATAACTTGCATCAAAAAGAGAATCAAATCATTGAAAGTTTTGTAACTGAGCTGAGAAATCTGGCAAAAAGTTGCGATTTTCTATGCAAAAATCAAAATTGCAACGAACCTTACTCAGAACGAATGGTGAGAGACAGATTGGTTGTTGGCCTATGTGATAAACAATTACAAGCCAGATTGATCCGGGAGCCAGACCTAAACACTGAAAAGATCCTGGACTATTGCAAGTCACTGGCTCTCAGCAAGGAACACCTTAAAACGCTTAGCCCTGAGGAAGAAGTTAATTTAATCCAAAAAAATTATAAAAAAATTAAATGCGCTAAATGTCTCTATGAACATTTTCCAAACCAATGTCCAGCATTTCGTAAGACCTGTGCTGCATGCCAGGAAATTGGCCATTTTGCAAAAGCATGCCAAGCTTTGAAAGGTGAAGAAGATCCTCACAATTTTGTTGATAAAAGTAGCTATACAATGAAGAAAAAGCTCGAGAAAAAGGTACGAGAAGTCAAATATGAAGAAGCATCTGACTCTGATGGCGAGGATATCCAAGATGACGTGTTATTTATAAATGAATGCTGTACTAAAAATGGAAAACGAGCATGGTCTGAGGTATTTTGTGTCGAAGATACAGAGGTAAAATTTAAACTTGACACAGGAGCGGACTGTAGTATTTTACCTATTAACACCTATTTAAAAATCTCTTGTTCTGAACCAATGACACAGACAAATGTTACCCTATTGTCTTACGGTAATCTTAGGTTAAAACCTGTAGGTCTTATTACTTTAAAATGTTACTACAAGAATATGTGTCATGATGTTAAGTTTGTAATAGTAGATTCTAATACTCAACCTCTTCTTGGTCTCGAAGATTGTCTCAAGTTTGGCTTATTTTCCCGAATTAATAGAGTTGGAATTTTACCAAAAACCAGAGTGCAAATTTATAAGTCATTTCAGAAAGTTTTTGAAGGTACAGGAAAAATTCCTGGGCTCTGCTCTATTAAGCTGACAGAAAATGCAAAACCTGTTATACAAGCCCAGCGTAAAATACCATTGTCATTGCACAAAAAATTAAAAGAAACTTTAGATACTCATCAAAGCAAGAATATAATTCAAAAAGTTGAATATCCGACCCAATGGGTAAATAGTCTTCTATTAGTTGAAAAGCCAGATAAATCTTTAAGGTTGTGCATTGATCCGAAACCATTAATAGTTATTTATTATACAAGACGGTAAAAAGATGCTTTACCTGTGAGTGGAAAATGTTGATTCACGAGCGACGAAGGAGCGAGTGGATTAATTCCACGAACAACTGGATGGTAAAAGTGCAGATCTTTGCGTTTTTAACACGCCTTTTGGAAGGTATCGCTTTAACCGGGTCCCTTTTGGAATTTCATGTGCTCCAGAAATATTCCAACGTAAAAATGTTGAAATCTTTGGTGATATTCCTGGAGTAGAAATATATTTTGATGACCTTATTATTTCAGGGGTTGATGAGGCAAGTCATGATAAAACCCTTAAAGAGGTTCTTCATAGAGCACTCAAAAATAATGTAAAGTTTAATTTAAAAAAAATTCAGTATAAACTGGACAAGGTTAAGTTTATGGGACAAGAAATTTCAAAGGACAGTATGAAGCCAGATATTTCAAACATTAAAGCTATTGAAGCCATCGATTCATTTCAGAAGTCACCTATAAATAAATCGGAAGTTTTGAGAATTTTAGGGCTTTTAAAATTTTTTGCTAGGTTTATACCAAATCTTTCCCAACTAACTACAAATATGCGCAATTTGACCAAAAATAATGTGGCATTTGAACGGACAGAGGCACATGAAAAAGAACTTCAAAATCTAAAATATATCATATCCCAAGAACCGGTTCTCAAAATTTTTGATCCAAATATTCCAATACGTGTCCAAAGTGATGCGTCCAGTGAAGCATTTGGTTGTTGTTACTTCAAAATGATCACCCAATTGTTTACGCTTCGAGATGCCTTACCAAATCCGAAAGAAAATGGGCTCAAATAGAAAAAGAACTGGGGTCAATTGTGTTTGCTTGTGAAAAGCTGCATTATTTTATCTATGGATTTCAAATCGAAATTCAGACAGATCACAAGCCCCTAATTTCAATCTACAATAAAGATATAGAGAAAGTATCTGCGAGACTCCAACGAATGCTGTTGAAATTGCTCAAGTATAATATAAAAATTACATATTTACCTGGCAGAGATATGGTTATCGCAGACACTTTGTCTAGGGCATATATTAAAGATGACGTACAAGATGATCCTGAAATGGCTTATATTGTGCACACTTTGTCCAATGACATTTCTATGTCCGAAGAAAAAAAGCATATCTTTAGAAAGAAAATCGAGTTAGATCCTATCTTATCAAAAGTGAAGCAATATTGTCAAACTTCTTGGCCTGAAAAAGACAAAAATTTACCTTTAGAAATGAAACAGTACTTTAAAATTAAGAACAATATTTATTTATCAAATAAGTTGCTATTTTTTGATAATAAAATAATAGTTCCTGAGTCGCTTGAATCTGACATGCTTCAACAAATTCATAAGACACATTTTGGCATTTCAAAATCCAAATTGAGAGCGCATCAACTCCTTTATTGGCCCGGCATATCTAAAGATATTGAAGATTATGTTCAAAATTGTGAAACATGTCAGTTAAATCAGAAGTCCGAACAAAAGGAGACGTTAATTCCACATGATCCACCTTCCAGACCATGGCAGTTTGTTCATTCCGATTTTTTTGAATTCAAGGGGAAAAACTATCTTGTATTGGTTGACGCCTTTTCTAATTGGATTGAAGTAACCCCTACAAAAACAAAAACTGCTCGGGAATTAATACAAGTTTGCAAAAATAAATTTCAACAGTTCGGAATACCTGAAAATTTTTTTGCGGATAATAATCCATATAATTCCTTCGAATTTAAGTCATTTGCAAAAGAATGGAATTTTGAGTTAGGCTTTAGCAGTCCTAATTACCATCAATCCAATGGGCTGTCGGAAAGATATGTGGGTATTGTTAAAAGTATGCTCCAAAAGTATGAAAAAGAGTCTGACCTGCCTCTTCTGGTACTGGAATACAACAATACTCCAATTCCTTCTTTAAAAAATTATTCTCCAAGTCAAATATTTTTAAATCGAACCACAAAAACCTAGATTCCAGTTTCTGCAAAAGCATTAAAACCCATCTTGATTGACAGTGATGAAATAAAAGAATTAATATTAAAGAAACAAGAAAGTGAAAAATGTTTTTATGATAAAAATGCAAAAGATTTACCTGGTTTATTTGTCGATGAGACGATTTTAATTCAGCTAGAAAATGGATGGAAGAAAGGAAAAGTAATAGAGAAGGTTAACGATAGATCCTATATTGTAATGCACGAATACGGAAAAAGATACAGAAGGAACCGAAGGTATTTAAGACAAACAAAACTTAACTTTGAATGCAAGGAAAATAATTTCAATTTATTGTATGACTTTGGATATAATTTTGGTATCAACCAGTCTCAGCCACCTTCTGTTTCTTCTGTCCAATCGCCCTCAGCTGCTGCTGTTCAACCGCCTTCTACTTCGCCTTTCGTTAGTCAAACTTCTGAACAGCATCCAGATACATTTGAATTAAATGACTCTTCAGCTATCCTTGAGAGAAGTGAGGATGGTGAAGATATGATAAAGAGAGTTCCTAAACAGCCTTCATGGCAGAAAGATTATGTTCTGTAGTTTGTTTTAGTTTTTAGGATTTTCTATTATTGACATTAACGTAATTTTTATATTTTGGATCCGTTTTTTTTATTTTTTTTTAAGCGAGAGCATGTTATGAGTAGTTTAACAAAGACACCACCTGATGACGAGTCAGTCAGTCAGTCAGTCAGTTAGTCAGTCAATTCATGTTGTAAGTTCATGATTTAAATATACAGTTTTACCTAATTATTTATTGTATTAGGTACTTAGTCCGAACCCATATACAACAGTTTGGGAAACCCAAACGCCAATAGGTGTCCGGATTTTGAAAGGGTGGTTAGTTGATTGATGTTCTAGAATTCGACATTTACCAACATTACAAAAGTTTGCAAATTAGCCGGAGTCACCAAACTTCTCAACTCATATGAAAAGTGAAAAAAAGATAAAAATTCTGGATAAGTTATTAAATACAAGATGTAAACTCTTACTTAACAACTGCCAACAAGAAATCGTTGAGCGTTTTCTGCTGGTTCATATTTAAATACAAATGCGCGTAATGTAAAGCGATACCGCCCCAGACGAGATAGCTGGACGCGATTTCTTCGTCTTCTTCGTAGAAGGAAGCTCCTGTATTCCGTCTCCATAATTCTAGAACGGCCACTAGTTCGCCGTTTGGTTGCATTATCGGTTGACACTGCACATGAGCCATTTCACCCTGAAACAATAGAGAATAAACGAAAACCAGGCCCTGTCATTGTCATTGATTAAATGCCATGATATATTCTCGAATTAGGTATATTATTTAATCGCGATGAAATATAAAGGATGCAATCCGCTAAAATGTCTCTGTGGATGTAAGTTTGTTCTTATCTTAAAAATTAAATATGTAAATAAGCAAATAATTAAATATTCTAGGTTTTACTACACCCCAGAGAGTAATGTTGGCCCTAATACTTCATTTGGCATTGCAAAACAGTTACAATTTACGAACAGTGATGAATGTAGCCATTGTGGAAATGGTTGAACCCGCGAATAATACTGACCAAAAAATCGAATGTCCGCAGTACGAGTACGTTGAAAAGAAAAGAGAGGTGAATCTACTGCTGAATTACACTATGCGGCAAGTCATGGATAGTAATAAGGATGTTTTTAGGGTGGTCAATATCCCTGGCCAAGAGCTGCCGAAGCGCGGATATTATATGCATTTTTTGGCGGATATTTCGTCAGTCACTTGCCCACTGGGTATTTAGCTGACACGTACGGGGCGCGACATGTTTTAGGCATCAGTATGATTCTGGGATGTGCTTCATCATTTATTATTCCAATATGCATACAAAAAGGGGGAGAATGGGCTGCGATAAGCTTAAGGTTCTTTTTAGGCGTTACTCAGGTTGGTATATAGGTACAGGGTGAGTTACTAAGCGCGCGGTAGTCCATATCTCCTATACTAACGGAGATCGAAGGAAAAACTAAATACAAAACTTGTAGATAAACATGAGTACTGCATTCCTATAGCTATTTACCTTACAAGTGCGGAAAAATATTTTCCGCAAGTGTTAGGTACAATATTTTTCCTACAGGCGTAAAAATGTAGAATTTTTCTTTTTTTTTTGACAGCCCTGCGGTAAAATTTGTTCCGCACTGACAGCCTTGCCGCAAAACTTTTTCCGCACTGATATGCGTGCGGTAAAAGTTTTACCGCACCGTGCGGGAAAACTCATTTTCCGCACGCATATCAGTGCGGAAAATCGATTTTTCCGCACGGCTGTAGGTAATAGTTATTTTTCCTACGAGCGTGCGCAAAGTAGTACTTTTCCGCACGCATTTCGGTTCTCAAAGTTGCACTTTTCCGCACTCAGTGCGGATACAGGCCTTATCCGCACTGAGTGCCGAAAAGTAAAAATAATTGTCAAGCAACAATAAGTACACCTGTCGACTTTGACACATGATGACAAATTTTTCCTCTGTTCCTGTTCCAGCTAACATCTATACCTACAAACACCAAATTTAATTAACTTCAACACATTGTCAGATTTGTTTTCTATATATATGCATCTACAAACTTTCTCATCAAATTTATAGCATTTTCCATTTGTCGAAACAGGGCAAAAAAATGTATCCTTATCCTTACATGTTACATGCTTTTAGAAAAAGATGCGGATGCACTCAGTGCGGCACTGATGACAAATGGAAATCGCCATTAAACGCTTTAAGATGAAGAGCTCTGACGATGATTTTCTGTTATATTTTTTTTTTGTTATGTAATTTTTTGATAAATGCATAGGTTCCCTTCCAGTTAATTAAAAATAATTAAACAAATTATCGTTTTTTTTTTAAATTTTTGTTGTTACCTACCTGATATGAAGCTCGTAGGAAAAATTTTGTTCCTAACACGTGCGCAAAGTGTCTTTTCCGCACGCAAACACGTATCCGAACTCCGCTTCGCGTCGTTCGTATAACTGTGTTTGCGTGCGGAAAAGTAACACTTTGCGCACTTGTTAGGAAAATAACTATACCGCACTATGTCAAAAAAAAAAAGAAAAATTTTACATTTTTTTGCCTGTAGGAAAAATATTGTACCTACCTAACACTTGCGGAAAATATTTTTCCGCATCATTTTCCGCACTTGTTAGGTAAAATTTTTTCCGCACTGACAGCCGAGCGGAATAGCTATTTACCTAACAAGTGCGGAAAAATATTTTCCGCAAGTGTTAGGTACAATATTATTCCTACAGGCGTAAAAATGTAAAATTTTTCTTTTTTTTTTTGACATATCAGTGCGGTAAAAATTTTTCCGCACTGACAGCCGTGCGGAAAAACTTTTTCCGCACTGATATGTCAAAAAAAAAAGTTTTACCGCACTGTGCGGGAAAACTCATTTTCCGCACGCATATCAGTGCGGAAAATCGATTTTTTCGCACGGCTGTAGGAAAAATTATTTTCCAGTGTACAGGGTGGCCCAATAACTACTAGTGACGCAAAGTTATGCTTTTTCAAATGACTTCCCCTGTATATTATTGTTATGTTTTTTGCATTATTCGACAAAAGTGGACTGTATTAAATGCCCGGCCTGAGCATACATAATTTTGAACCGACAAGACAAGAAATGGTGAGATGACAAAATGGCCGCCACTCACCTTTTTCGTTGCGCGTACCCGCTTCGCGATGTGTTTGTCGACTGACTCTGCGCTCCGACTTGGTCCTTGGCACAGCCTCCTATAGTTAACAAGCCACGAAGTTCCAAATGATGGCAACGTCGCGTATGGTGCTATTTTGTTATTGGGTTATGTGTTTCTGTGTATTGCTTTCATTGTGTATTGTTGCAATTTAGTATTTTTATGGGCATTATTGACGAAAAAGTGGATAGAAACACACCAATATATTGCCCATATTTAGTTGATACCTGTTCCTTTGTGCTTTGATTGCAAATTTTTAGCAAATGGGTACAGAAGCAAAAATGAAGGTAAGGTAAGGTAAAACAATAAAAACAATATTAATATTTGTCTGCAAGAGCATAGTTCTCGATATATTAGGTACCTAAGATATTTAAACTTGTTCCAGATGCCATAAAACTACTGTGTTCCTGGGTACAAATCGAACTATTAGGAGTTCCTTAAAAACTGAAGAAATGCAAACATTTTTATTTCCAAAAAAATTCTGAAGTGCAAAAAATGTGGATGAAAGCAATACACCAAGATAATTATACCCGAGATTATACAATAACGAAAAATTCTGTGGTGTGTTGTAAACATTTTGAAGAAACCGAAATAATTAGATTTGAAACAAACAAGGATAAAGGTGTAGTTCGAGAGTTCAAACTAAAACGTCCAACTCTTAAAAGTAGGTACCTCTTATTTTCAAAAATTAGCTCAATTATTTGATGGACTTGCCTTCCGAAAAAATCCCGAAGAAAGAAAAAGTTAGATTTTCAAAAGACATACTGAAACATAACACTTTGGACTCTAGAAATATATTCATTTAAATCAATTATTTACTGTTCTTATTTACACAAATAGTTAAATTATTCATTGAATTACTGTTTTTGGCCCTTTAGTACAATAAATTATGCATTTTTTGTGATTCATAATAATAAAATAAAAAATATATATTTATACAAACAAACACCACCAGCACCACTTGGCGGTAAGATTGCGGTGTTGCCTTTTTAACTTCATGGCTTGTTAAATGTAGGAGGCTGTGTCCTTGGTCTTCCTCTCCAAAGCATAGATGCGCTTTTCCCCTTCCATTCGTGACGTAACTGACATCCCAATGACTTTTTGAAAAGCGCGGTGGATTTAAATGTATTTACAGTTTGTGTACTATTTTATGATGAATTGAATTTACACTATGTACATAACAATTATGACATTTCTGAAAAAGTTTACGCCTATTTACTGCGACCGGACCGTTTATAAAACCACAGTTTAGTTCATATTTAACCTTAAGATGGGTGGCATTAATGACATTTGAAATCTGTTACTTCTGTGCTCTTATTGGTTGATTTTTTAAAATTCGTCTGCAAAGTGAAAAAAAAAAAAATAATAAAACAGAATTGGCTCAAAATTGGCATTTAACATTGTTTGATCTACAGTCCGAATATTTCGGTTTTTCGATATTTTGCGAGATTTTAGAAATAATCCATAACGACTATAGGCAACCAGGGCTGGGACTCTGTAATGGATAGAAATCGTTATCCCTATCGCTATATGGTACTTGCTATCTTCTTCTCTCTCTTGGAAATCAATAGAGAGGGTGCATAAATAGGGAAAAAATCTCTATTCGTTAGAGAGTCAGAGAGTCCTAGTCCAGATATACACTTTCCATTTCGAGAAAAACGCAAATTATCGAAAAACTAAAATATTCGGATTGTACATAATCCATCAAAGAATGTTTATGCCACTTTTGAGCCAATTCTGATATCAGTTTTTCTTTCTCTTTGCAGACGAATTTTAAAAAATCCACATAGTAGGTACTGACAGATTTCAATGTTATTAGCGCCCCTTCAAGAGCGCTCTTATGTATTTTTATTATTTCTTTGTGTTTTGTTAAGCTTTTATATTTTATAATCACTTATTATGTACTTTGAAAGGTAAAGTTTTTGCACCTTATCCGTGATTATAAGTAATGCTGAAAAAAACAAAAATAAGTTTGCCCCCTCTAAATTTTCGGTTGCCCCCTCTGGAATCCAAACCTGGCTACAGGCCTGACAATGTCATATAGATACCTATTTTCAACTGTTTCGGAAATATTGACAGTTGAAAATTGACTTTTTTGCATCTTTGACAGACTATAAAACCTGAACGGTTATTTTTACAAGAAAACGGATTTCACATTCCTGTCTCAGTTTTTCATAAACTATAATTTGACACCAATCTTGAATTCAATCCATGAATAAAAAATTCCGCCTAAATTATTAATCTTCGGTTAAATTCAAAGTTGGTGTCAAAATGATAGCTTATAAAAATCTAAGATAGGAATGAAAAATCCGTTTTCCTCTAAAATTAACCATTTAGGTTTCACAGTCTGTCAAAGATGCAAAAAAGTCAATTTTCATAGGGTTTCATCGAGACGAGAAATCTCGTCTCGAAGGCAATTTCCCGTCTCGTCTCGATCATCGAGACAAGAAATCAACAAAATCTCGTCTCGATGTTTTTCTCGAAGACAATTTCTCGATCTCGATTCGAGATTCTCGAAATTTCGAGTGTCTCGAAAACAAAAACTGAATGTTATTAATAGTATAGGGACCGGTCACAAATTGAAATTCGCGACCCCTAGTGAGAGATGTTAAAAGTTTTTGTATTAATAGTTTGTCAAATTTTCACTAGAATTTCGAAAAATGGAGCTGGAAATACATTTTGGTTTCCGAAATATCAAATTTAACCACCACGAAGCTTATTTTTAGCAATTACAAATTAAACAGAAAGGAAGCTCACGACATTTCCAAGCGTCCAATTTACTTTTCATTCTAAAATCGTAATGCGCAAATTCCAGGGTGGTATCTTACCATGTATATCTTCTTTGGTGAGCCATTGGATACCAGAAAAAGAACGACCTTTTCTTGGTTCTCTGGCATACTCTGGGAGTACTCTGGGACCGATTCTCACCTACGCTTTAACCGGAGTGATAATTGAGCAAACCAACAATTGGACGATGCCATTTTACGTATGGTCGAGCGTTACTGTTTTCTACTTGATATTCCATTACTTGAATTTGTTTTCTTATCCGCAAACTCATCCATTTATAACGGAAGAAGAACTTAATTATCTCGATGAAGCCATTGGTAAGATAATAAATTAACAAATATATCATGCACTTATAAATACTAATTACTTTAGTTGTGAAGAAACGTAAGAAGATTCCCTGGAAAGGAATTTTATTGAACGTTCCATTTTGGGCGAATGTCGCAGGTCATTCCGGTCACAATTACCTATTTTACAGCCTGGTAACATTTATGCCGGTGTACATGAGAGAAATTTTACGATTCAACATAGAAATAAACGGTTTAGTCAGTGCTCTACCATTCGTTGGACTTTGGTCAGGTTGTTTGGGAATTGGAGCACTTGCCAACTATGTCATCAACAAAGGCTTGATAACCAGATACAATTTTGGTAGAATTTTCGGAACAATGGGTAACTAAACTGACCAATTTGAACTCTTATGCTTAAAATTTCGTTTTTCTAGGCCAGTGGGGTTGTTCTCTAGTAGCCCTTGGTGCTGTGTACATCGGCTGTCACAGAGTAGCTGTAGTGTCGATGTTCGTTCTTGCAATGTTTATTAAATCATTGTATTACATGACGATGACCAACAATATCAACGAACTGTCGTTGAACTATGGCGGTATTATGTTTGCCATTAATAATGGATTGAATAGTTTGACTGGTGTTGCTGGTGGAGAAATTATTGGGGCGATTACAAAACATGTAAGAATATCAAGATTTGTTTTAACATGTTTTTTGGTTGAAGTTTGAACTAAAATCTTATAACCACCGTTGTATTTTTTTTTTCTAGAAATCTTTAGCTGAATGGAGAATAGTACTTTGGATATCAGTCGGCTACGCCGTTGCTACTTCAATAATATACATACTATGGAGTTCAGCTGATAGACAAAAATTTGATTTTGATGAAGAAGAGTTAGCAGCACAACAAGCAGCTGCTGCGTAAATTTGTATATCATTTTAAATACATACACAAATATAGTTATTTTGGATACATCGTCAACTTCTTACATTGTCTAAAATTTCCGCTGGAAATCTAGAATCGTTTTGTCCTCTGCTTAATCGCACAGGTTCCATAGTTTCTGCGACATAAATTGGAATACTGATTCCATTCTGGATTTTTTGCAACTTCAAGTCACCATTTTCATTATGAGAACCGAGCACCAGGAAAAGCTGGAGGTCGTCTGGATGAGAGGAACTCTCTACAGTGTAGAGTCTGGAACATAATGATTTACAGACACCTATTTATTTTCCATTTTTAAATTCATACCTGAATCCATCTGCACTTACTGCTGAAGATATGCAATTCGATAATTCCCATAGAACGTGATCTTTGGTAGGTTTTAATTGAAGACTATGAGTGAGCTCTTGCAACATTTGACGTTTATCCGCATGCACGCAGAATTTCCATCTGAAAATCAAAATAATTAAATCTTTATAGTTAGTGCAGCCAAATGATTTTGAAGCAACATTTAATTTATTTTCTAAAACTAAGCTGGTGGAGGCAAATAAGCTTTGGAAATGGAAAAATCAGATTGCATAAAATAAAGACTTCAACTTTGTATGCCATCTCTAGATATCTATCTACTCCAACAAAGTTTTATTAAAAAGTTTCTTTGTAGTTGGTGAATAGAATTTACTGCTTATATTCTAAAAAAAAGCATCTGTGTAGTTGAAACGGAATAAAATAAACACGAAACGACGACCTTACTTTATAGAGTGTAGAGGTTGGGGATGGGATCTAAAAATAAAGCCTCTATAATTACCCTTGCTGAATAGCGAACAATCGATGCTCGTGCGTACTGCAAAAGTAAATAATATTGTAATTTACCCACCTGTCCATCAGGGCATGTAGGCTTTTTAGAAATTAAAATATTCGTTAAAAAATATACACAAATAAAATACAACCATAGTCAAATTATTATTCTGCAGTAAGGATAAAGTTCAGCTAACGACTAGGCCTAGAATTTATCAACCTGAACATTCAAATTCGCGAATTTGTATTTCATTAAATTGGTCTATCACGCTCTATCCTCGTGCCATTTTAAATTCTGTTTGTTACTTTCTGTAGACAAGTTCAGAATTTCAATAGTTTCTTTTTGCTTTTCAAACTCTATTTCTATGCAAACGTTTTATTTGCTCTACCTACGTCATAATGACGTAAAGATTCTGTCTGTTGCAGAGAAAAGAAATGTATCGAAATTCACAAAAACGTCTTATATACATATAAGGATTTAAGTTACCTTGACAGGCTCGTTTTTCGTCCATTTCGCGGCGCAAAATCCGGTCGTTTCTTCTGCCTTTGTGATTTTCGAATAATCCAACGTTCCAACTGTTCCACCTCAACTTCATCCATAATGAACTTCTCAAGGAATTCAGTATGATTGGAGAGGAATTGCGATACTTGGTCTTCTAAAAAAAATAATTTATATTCCAGTACTACTTTAGCCAAAATTGTTTATCTTATATTAAGTTTATTACTAAAATACAATTAAGTTCAAGACCTAAATTCATTTATCTACAGCATGAAATCCCGCCATTAAAAGTCCCGCTATCGTGTCCCATTTTGTTTACCTTGTACTGCGAAGGTCCCCAATTTCAGCTATTAATTAGCGAGCGCGCTATTTACTATCGGTTTCCATCAATTTATTCGCCTAGATTAATGAGGCCCTTCTGTACACCGAAATGGTTGCTTTTAATTTATGATGAAGGAATCTTTAATTATTTTTCTATAATAGAGTAGAAGTGCAGTGCATGAAGCACGAAGTTGGAACAATTAAAAGATCTCTTGAAAATAAGGAATACAATTCCCATGGTATCTAAAAAATCTAATGATTGAGTCCATTGGAAAATCCACGGTAGAACCAGTCATCATACAATGGATAATTAAAATGCTGAAAAGCAGAATCATTAATGCAGAAATTGATGACTATACCATAAGGAAAAGAACAACCAGAGGAACTTCACAAGGAATCAATCACTCTGGTGACTGTTGGTAATCAATATGATTCTAGAAACCTTTAGAGAAAGGAGTTTAAAATTGATTGCTTATGCTGGCGACGTGGTAGTACTGGTGAGTGACTTCAGCTTATCAACCATCATGGGATCAGCATTAAAGGAATTTGTGGCATAGAGTACTTGAGCCGGCAACGCCGCTCGAGAGTCGGGATAGCAGCCCTCGGCGCAGGGCCCAGCGGTGGAAATCAGGTAAGTGTACCAAGGCTGCTACATGGTGACAGTGGTTATTTTTTTCGTGTTTCTATCAACTCTAGCCACTTTAGTAAAGTGCTCCCACTGGGTATAGTGCGGAGTTACAGTTTTTTTTTCTTTCAAAAAAAGTAGACTTTTTGGATTGTTTTGTTGATTTTGTTTTCTCTTCACATTTTTCAATCATGGCTTAGTGAACAGGAAAATGCTATTAGATTGAGTGCGGACGAATTTAATCAGCAACAAGACTATTAAATCAGTTATTAAGATTGTAGCAGCAACAATTACTAAATGCAGGAAACACAGCTTCGGCACCGGTGATTATGCATCAGGCCACAATTTCCCCTCCATCTCACTTTTCTTTTCAAGCTGAGGACTGGGAAGACTGGAGAAATTCATTTATTAGATACACAAGAACAGTCCTTAGTAATCATCCATCAGAACAGCAAGTTGACTATCTGATCAGTTTTTTAGGCACAAAAGCTGAGAAAATCTTAAAACAACAAGCAGATTTCAACACTGTTATATCAAAATTTGACAGGTATTTTATCCGAAAGAAAAATATTGTATACGAGAGGGTGAAATTTTTGCAAAGGTCACAGAACCCAGAGACGAGCCTTGTGACTCTTTTATAACACCTCTATGGCCCAAAATTGTGAATGCGACAATTTAGAGAAAGAAATTATTGAATTAAGAATAATAGCAGGGTTAGCGAATAATAAATTATCAGTATAGCTACAAGCACGCCCAGATGACACATTGGAAGATGTGGTAAGGCATGCCAGATTGACGTTGTGGTAAGGTATGCCAGATTGACCGAAACATTAAACAAGCAACAACCAACAGCCAACAATAGAGCCAATCTCCCTACTTCCAATCCAATTGTCGAAGAAAAGCTGGAAGTTGATGATTACGTTCAGAGGGGGGCGCGCCCAAAATCATTCAGTAACTCAAATTATGCGAAAAACCCAAAATAAAACACAGAGGCAAAAGATTGCTGAAAATGTGGAAGAACTCCAAGGCACACATTCGTTGATTTTCCTGCAAGAAAGGATGAATGCAACAGGTGCGGAGAAACAGGACACTGGGCGGTGGTGAAGTGTAGCAGTTCAAGAAGTGAAAGAGGCTTCAGACACGATCAGGACCGGCGAAGAATAAATGATGTAATTGCTCAGGACTCTGTTCCTTCTCCTCCCCTGAGCGATGACGAATTCGCTTTTCTGGGCTTGGTAGAAGCTGGCAGGAGACCTGGGCTGGGATCATGACAAGTAGAATTCTACTAAAATTCTACTTTCATGACGTCAGGTTACCTAGCAACCAACATCATCGCCTGTACTGTACGCGATAAATAAATCGCGGGTGACGTCATGAAAGAATTCTACTTGTCGTGATCTCAGCCCTGGTCCATGGCATACCGTGATTTCCATGGATGGAATTCCAGATAAAGTCAAAATTGACACTGGAGCAGATGTGACCGTAATAAAAAGCTACAGTTTGTCAAATTTGAAAAATATCAAACTTTTCCATTCACAGAAAATCCTTGCGTGGCAAAATCAATGTTACGTTGCCGTTTTTATATTGCAAATAATTTGCATGAAAATTTACCAGGAAGAGACGCTGTAGAATCACTAAAGATGTTAGCTTGGACAAATGCGATCTCTGACACAAATGCTATCAGTAAGGAGTTTCCAACCCTATTCGAAAGCATCGGAGACGTAGGAGAAACGTATCACATTACTTTAAAAGAAGGAACGAAGACTTTTACAATTTCTATGTCACGTAGAATTCCTATCCATTTGCGAGAAGCTACGGAAGAACATTTGAACATCTTAGAAAGCCGATCAATAATCTACAAGGTTAAAGAGCTAACCCCTTGATGTGCATCAATGGTGGTAGTGCCCAAAAAGGATGGCACTGTTAGAACATGCGTAGACTACGCAGTTCTCAATAAAAATGTGGAACGAGAAAGATCAGTATTACCGGATGTTGAAGAAGCATTGTCCCAAATTGAGGCAGGCTCTCAGTATTTTAGCAAGCTAGACGTCAAAAGTTAACGTAAAAGTTTAGATCTGTTGTTTGATTGTAATCAGGAAGCTGCGATTAATTGATTAAACTTGAAGTTATGGGCCCAGAGCTGATTACAATAGTCTTGTTGTGAAAATTGAACGCTGGAATTTTGGCGGAAGTTTTTATGGAAGGTTAGTCAAATATTAAACTCAAATTTGAAATGGATAAACAACAGAACATGTTTTATGAGAAACCATTCGATGGAAGCTCTTTTTCGGACTGGGAATTCAGAATAAAATTGTATTGGAACAACAAGGTGTACTTAATGTACTTAACGAAACACCCGCAGATCCTACAAATACTGTTGAGTATGAGTAATTCCAGGAATCAGATGTGAAAGCTAAAGTTATATTAATACAGTGTGTAGCTGCCAACATTCTGGAAATGTAAAAAAATAAACAAACAGCAAATGACGTTATGGATACTTTGAGCAGCACTTATGCAAGAAAAGGAATATCTTCACAGGTTGTTTTGCAAAGAAAATTAAGAGGCTTGCAATTTATGGAGAATAAAACGTTAAATGAATTTTTAACGCAATTCGAACAGACAATTTGTGAAATTAAAGGTGCTGGAGGTACTGTGGACGATAGTGAGATGATTTTGCAGTTATCTGCTATGCCTAAGTCTTTTCGGTCAGTGACTACAGCTATTGACATTATGGTCAGCCAGAATCAGTCACCAGTTAGACTTGAGTTTGTTAAAGATAAATTATTGATGGAAGAGGCTCGTCAGAACAAAACAAGACAAGAAAGTGACCCAAACCTTACGTTTGTGGGATTTAAAGGAAAAGGAGACGGGCTGGGACTCTGCAACGAATAGAGATATTTTCTCTATCCCTATCAACATCTCCTCTCTATTGATTTCAAGAAGAGAGAAGAGGACAACAAGTGCCATAGCGATAGGGATAATGGTCTCTATCCATTACAGAGTCCCAGCCTAGGATATTCTTCTAGAGGTGTTGGTGTCGGTATGTCACGGAACATGCAGAACAGTAGCAGTAATTTTTCATTTAGATGCTAGTACAGTAAATAGGGATATTTTACTAAAAAAAAATACTTATTGGCTGAAATTTTGAGGGTGTGTTCGGGGCATGTCCTGAGTCTAAAACTGAGTTTTCGTATTCGAGGGGGTGGGGGAAGATACTACCCCCTCTTTATGTAGGGTTGAGTTCGTTTTAATTCCTTATCTTCGGTGCTATTGCCCGTACCGTCAAGTCCGAGAGATCAAATTTGTGGGAAATAAAATTATCTATCTAATGATAATAAAATCAAGGTCATAGGACGATTAGGTGAATCCCAATGGCCGGTCAAAGGTCAAAAGTGAGGGGTAGTTTTTGAATACCGTGAAACCGGTAAGTTTTTTCGCATACTGCTTAGATACAATTTCGAAGTACCTACTTGAAATTACCTACAAAATGTGTGCTCAAACACTCATCTACTGTGAATAGTTTGCCGTCAATCCAACGACCAAGTTTAGGTGCGGCACAATGTCTTCGACTCACAACGCCGGCAAAATGAAATTCATTTCAACGGTGGAGAAGGATCCCCAACTACTGGACTCGATTTATCTCTTCCAAAATGAAAAAGTTGTTCCATCGGCAATAGCCGCCCTTGGACAATTGTTCTTTTACAAGCTGTACGGAGGAAACAAGGACGAGACTTTGAACTTCTATCGTTACAAGTGTTTTCTTCAATCCGGAAAGAAAAATACGTTCAATTTGGCTTCCCTACCACCTACTGGAGATGCAGCTCGTCTATACACGTATAGAGTGTATCATCAAGTTCAAGAGTGGCTAGGAAATTACAAAGATTTGGAAGACTGGGGTTGGAAAAAAACGAAGAGCATTTATATGCCCATCGCCTGCGAAAAAGATCCGGTGCCGCCAAGTTTGCTGAAATTAATTTCTTGCACCTGCAAAACTGGTTGGGGGAAGGCCTGTGGGTGTCGAAAAGCTGGGTCGAAATGTTCTCCAATTTGTGGGACTTGTAGCGGTACCGCGTGCAACAACATCGCCCAATATTCTACCCTGCAAGAAGATGACATTTTCTCAACGACGACGAGAACTTACAATCCATTCCTGAAGAAGATGAAGGGGATCAAGGAGAAGACGCTCGTGGTGACACACTTGGAAACGATGA